TCAAAAGTTTACACGAGGTGCCTAGAGGCCAGAATTGAATTCCCTGAAGAGTTCAACTCATTACATTCAGTATCCAGTGAGAAAACAAAACTTTTTTGCATTTTACAAAATCTTCCCAAAACTTCATCGTTTTCCATAGCCGGCATCATCGAAAAAGTCGGTTTTTGACCCAAAAATCCAGATCGACAAAAATTGCTCAAAAGTTTACACGAGGTGCCTAGAGGCCAGAATTGAATTCCCTGAAGAGTTCAACTCATTACATTCAGTATCCAGTGAGAAAACAAATCTTTTTTGCATTTTACAAAATGTTCCCAAAACTTCAAGGTTTTCCATAGCCGGCATCATCGAAAAAGTCAGTTTTTGACCCAAAAATCCAGATCGACGAAAATTGCTCAAAAGTTTACACGAGGTGCCTAGAGGCCAGAATTGAATTCCCTGAAGAGTTCAACTCATTACATTCAGTATCAAGTGAGAAAACAACACTTTTTTGCATTTTACAAAATGTTTCCAAAACTTCAACGTTTTCCATAGCCGGCATCATCGAAAAAGTCAGTTTCTGACCCAAAAATCCAGATCGACAAAAATTGCTCAAAAGTTTACACGAGGTACCTAGAGGCCAGAATTGAATTCCCTGGAGAGTTCAACTGATTACATTCAGTATCCAGTGAGAAAACAAAACTTTTTTGCATTTTACAAAATGTTCCCAAAACTTCAACGTTTTCCATAGCCGGCATCATCGAAAAAGTCAGTTTTTGACCCAAAAATCCAGATCGACGAAAATTGCTCAAAAGTTTACACGAGGTGCCTAGAGGCCAGAATTGAATTCCCTGAAGAGTTCAACTCATTACATTCAGTATCCAGTGAGAAAACAAAACTTTTTTGCATTTTACAAAATGTTCCCAAAACTTCAACGTTTTCCATAGCCGGCATCATCGAAAAAGTCAGTTTTTGACCCAAAAATCCAGATCGACAAAAATTGGTCAAAAGTTTACACGAGGTGCCTAGAGGCCAGAATTGAATTCCCTGAAGAGTTCAACTCATTACATTCAGTATCAAGTGAGAAAACAAAACTTTTTTGCATTTTACAAAATGTTCCCAAAACTTCAACGTTTTCCATAGCCGGCATCATCGAAAAAGTCAGTTTTTGACCCCAAAATCCAACTGGACAAAAATTGCTCAAAAGTTTACAGGAGGTGCCTAGAGGCCAGAATTGAATACCCTGAAGAGTTCAACTCATTACATTCAGTATCCAGTGAGAAACCAAACTTTTTGGCTTTTTACAAAATGCCCCCAAAACTTCAACTTTTTCCATAGCCAGCATCATCGAAAAAGTCAGTTTTTGACCCAAAAATCCAGATGGACAAAAATTGCTCAAAAGTTTACACGAGGTGCCTAGAGGCCAGAATTGAATACCCTGAAGAGTTCAACTCATTACATTCAGTATCCAGTGAGAAACCAAACTTTTTGACTTTTTACAAAATGCCCCCAAAACTTCAACTTTTTCCATAGCAGGCATCATCGAAAAAGTCAGTTTTTGACCCAAAAATCCAGATGGACAAAAATTGCTCAAAAGTTTACACGAGGTGCCTAGAGGCCCGAATTGAATACCCTGAAGAGTTCAACTCATTACATTCAGTATCCAGTGAGAAAACAAACTTTTTGGCTTTTTACAAAATGCCCCCAAAACTTCAACGTTTTCCATAGCCGGCATCATCGAAAAAGTCAGTTTTTGACCCAAAAATCCAGATCGACAAAAATTGCTCAAAATTTTCCCCAGGTGCCTAGAGGCCAGAATTGAATTCCCTGAAGAGTTCCACTTATTACATTCAGTATCCAGTGAGAAACAAAACTTTTTGGCTTTTTAAAAAATGCCCCAAAAAATTCAACTTTTTCCATAGCAGGCATCATCGAAAAAGTCAGTTTTTGACCCAAAAATCCAACTGGACAAAAATTGCTCAAAAGTTTACACGAGGTGCTTAAAGGCCAGAATTGAATACCCTGAAGAGTTCAACTCATTACATTCAGTATCCAGTGAGAAACCAAACTTTTTGACTTTTTACAAAATGCCCCCAAAACTTCAACTTTTTCCATAGCCAGCATCATCGAAAAAGTCAGTTTTTGACCCAAAAATCCAGATGGACAAAAATTGCTCAAAAGTTTACACGAGGTGCCTAGAGGCCAGAATTGAATACCCTGAAGAGTTCAACTCATTACATTCAGTATCCAGTGAGAAACCAAACTTTTTGGCTTTTTACAAAATGCCCCCAAAACTTCAACGTTTTCCATAGCCGGCATCATCGAAAAAGTCAGTTTTTGACCCAAAAATCCAGATCGACAAAAATTGCTCAAAAGTTTACACGAGGTGCCTAGAGGCCAGAATTGACTACCCTGAAGAGTTCAACTCATTACATTCAGTATCCAGTGAGAAACAAAACTTTTTGACTTTTTACAAAATTTTCCCAAAACTTCAACGTTTTCCATAGCCGGCATCATCGAAAAAGTCAGTTTTTGACCCAAAAATCCAGATCGACGAAAATTGCTCAAAATTTTCCCCAGGTGCCTAGAGGCCAGAATTGAATTCCCTGAAGAGTTCCACTTATTACATTCAGTATCCAGTGAGAAACAAAACTTTTTGGCTATTTAAAAAATGCCCCCAAAAATTCAACTTTTTCCATAGCAGGCATCATCGAAAAAGTCAGTTTTTGACCCAAAAATCCAACTGGACAAAAATTGCTCAAAAGTTTACACGAGGTGCTTAAAGGCCAGAATTGACTATCCTGAAGAGTTCAACTCATTACATTCAGTTTCCAGTGAGAAAAGAAAATTGTAGATTTTTTACAAAATGCCCCGAAAACTTCAACGTTTTCCAAAGCCAGCATCATCAAAAAAGTCAGTTTTTGACCTGAAAATACAACTTCACCAAATTTCCTCCAAAGTTCACATGAGGTCCCTTGAGGCCAGACTTGAATTCCCTGAAGCGTTCAACTCATTATATTCAGTATCCAGTGAGAAAAGAAAATGTTTTGGTTTTTTTAAGAGATGCTCCCAAAACTTCAACTTTTTCCATGGCCGGAATCATCCAAAAAATCAGTTTTTGACCCAAGAATCCAACTTCACCAAATTTCCTCAAAAGTTCACAAGAGGTGCCTAGAGGCCAGAATTGAATTCCCTGAAGAGTTTAACTCATAACATTCAGTATCCAGCGAGAAAAGAAAAATTTTAGATTTTTAAAAAAATGCCCCCAAAACTTCATCGTTTTCCATAGCTGGCATCATCAAAAAAGTCTTCTTTTTTTTACCCAATAATAAAAGCTTATCAAATTTGCTCAAAAGTTCACACGAGATGCCTAGAGGCCAGAATTGACTTCCCTGAAGAGTTGAATTTATTACGTTCAGTATCCAGTGAGAAAATAAAAATTTGATATTTTATACACAATGCCACCAAAACTTCAACGTTTTCCATAGCCAGCATCATCGAAAAAGTCAGTTTTTGACCCAAAAATCCAAATTCACCACATTTCTTCAAAAGTTCATACGAGGTGCCTAGAGGCCAAAATTGACTTCCCTGAAGAGTTCAACTCATTACATTCAGTATCCAGTGAGAAAAGAAAATTGTAGATTTTTTACAAAATGCCCCCAAAACTTCAACGTTTTCCAAAGCCGGCATCATAAAAAAAAGTCAGTTTTTGACCCAAAAATCCAACATTAGCAAATTTTCCTCCAAATTTCATATGAGGTGCCTAGAGGCCAGATAGAATTCCCTGAACAGTTCTACTCATCATATTCAGTATCTAGTGAGAAAACAAAACTTTTTGGCTTTTTATAAAATGCCCCCAAAACTTCAACTTTTTCCATAGCCGGAATCATCGAAAAAGTCAGTTTTTGACCCAAAAATCCAACTGCACCAAATTTCCTCAAAAGTTCACATGAGGTGCCTAGAGGCCAGAATTGACTTCCCTGAAGAGTTCAACTTATTACATTCAGTATCATCAAAAAAGTCATGGAGAGTCCATTTTTCAAGTTTTCGACAAAACATGACCCATTTGAATGAGTGTCAGTAGGCAACTTGTTATAGATTGGGGCATAGCGTTCTGCCGCCTTACAAAAAAACACTGCATTGATAAAAAGAAAACAAAAGGGCAAACATATACTCGAATCATACGATTACGAAACTACTGACCAGAAAAAAAAAAACAATTTCAAATGTCCCGCGCTGTGTATTTGTCGACCCTCTCCCTCAATGCACTGGGAAAATGAACTCTCCGTGGCAAACTCTTGGTGGAGCACTGCATTGTGATTCGCCCGAATTGCATGTGATGAACATTTTAAAAACTGAAAAATGTTGTAAACTACAAAAATCTCCATATAAAATTATAATCAAGCAAAAAAAAATAACCAGAAGGTTGTGTACTAGGTTAGATTAACGGCTACTCTGTTACTGTGTTAAAAAATACAGCGTCATTCTTAGAAATTACCCCAACCAGATATCGCTGCTTCAAAGATGTTTCATGTTCTTGTCAGGCCCCAACTAGACCCCTGGGCCCAACTTAAAATGGGACCATCACAACTTACGTGATCCACTTAGAACACTTTAGTTGTGATGGTCCCAAGTTGGGATGGTCCCAAGTTGGGTCATCCAAACTAAAGGTGGGTCGGTAGTTTAGTTGGAGCATGACATCCTCAAGCTTAGAGAAAAAATAAATTAAATATCATTGGAAATGCCAACAAAATCTTGACTTGAAAAATATCAAAATGTACTCTCATTTTATGGGACCTCATTCACCCAAAGCTTTTAAGAGGTTACCGCCAGGTTTTGAGTGATTGTTCAGGCTGTAGGAGGGTACATCCATGTAACTTTATCTTACAGGATTGATGTCCCTTGAAAGTTAAAGAATGAACGATTGCTTTCCTGCACTGAGAAGTTAAGAGGGTTCATTACAGATCCTACAAAAAGTGTTATGATTTAGGTCAGATCTTCAGCAAGTTAGGGAGTTTTACTCAAGGACCACCATGGTTTTAGCATCTGGCGATTGTCTTACCACTCCCCATGCCGTTCATCTTTAGCAAGTTGAAGCAATGTCTGGAGCTCTCCTCCCCGTTGGCCAGACCACTCAGCATGTCGATGTACGATACGTAGAGCGACGGGGGCAGCAGATCACCCGCCATACGGATGAACTTGAACAAGCTGGCCTGGGTACAAAAGCAATAAAATAACATAGGATTTGAAGGTTTGCATGGTGGAAAGATACTAAGACAAGATAAGTTTGCGGTAGCACCATGTGAATAAATCTCTTTTGTGAGTATGTGTGGTTCTGAAAAGAACCAAAGGGACTCAACGTTTCGAACAGTATGCTGTTCCCAGCTTCACCGTTTTTCGAGCTTCACCAGTTTGCATCCTTCTCACGCCTCACCGCACCCATCCTTATAACAACGCATCATCGTTGGAATCCCTCATTCTCCTGACGACAGGCAGAGCATACCGTTCGAAACGTTGAGTCCCTCTGGTTCTTTTCAGAACCACACATACTCACAAAAGAGATTTATTCACATGGTGCTACCGCAAACTTATCTTGTCTTAATAAAAAATTAAAAAATCAAAGTTCAGCCGTTACGGACTCCTCCACACGCAAATATCCTGTCAGTGGTGATAAAGAGGGATGGACGAAGGACTCTTGAGCACAACTGCTGCCGTGCACAATGCAAAGCAGCTGTGCTAGCTATCATGAGGACATACAGTGCTACCTTCAGTACCTGCACCGAGTCCACCAGAATGTGCATCAAGTTCTAACAACCCAATCAGAAATGGACAACATCATTAATATGCCACATGTCAATTCTCCCTACGGAAACCGTGCACAATGACAACAGAAATGAGCCCTAGTGCCAATATTGAAGGAAAACGGTCGCCACCTTGCCTTTTGCATGCAGGTACGCAAAGATTATAATATAAGCTTAGCTGCAACTGATCCTCAAAGTTCGGTTCGGTTCGGTTCAGGTTTGGCTCGGAAGGCCAAGTTCGGCTATTTCTAGTTCGGTTCGGCGGTTCGGCTGCAGCACTATATAAGCTCACAGCATGAAGTGTCCTACCTATCTCTCATCGTTGGGTAAGAAAGCGCCCTTTTTTTAATTCACACACAGTCCTTTACCTGTCTTGGTGACTGGCGCTGGTAGGGGTGTGAGACGTAGGTAGCACTTGCTGAAGGGCTGCTGCTTGGATCTGTTGTACACCAATACTCCAAGGGAAGCTCCAAGCCGAGGGGGTCATTGCCGTAAAAAGCACCAAGCTAATAGAATAACACAAAGGGTATGGAAGTTGAGAAAACCTTGTATAAGAGGCTGTGTCCAAAAAATATACACACGAGTCTATGGGAAGTGGCTGCAGCCGCTACCCAGTGGCTTCCATTGCTGCGTGCCTTATCCTAAGCCGTAGCGTAGCAAAGTGTTAATAGCCATAGTTAGCAGTGGAGTATGAAGTAAGTCACTAACAAACAGACCCTTCTACGAGATGTCAATTGAAAAATAAAATACTTGTGGTTGTATTTCACCTTTTCCTGCTTAATCCTAACTCTCCTGGATACTTCAGAATTTGGTTCGTTAGTGTGACGTCATCTCAATTCAACCATGCGTACTTCACACGGTGTAGAATAGCACGAATGGAACAGGAAGTTAACGCAACTGGAGTGTTTAGCCAATGTACGCTTGTAAGTGGTGCGCCCGCGTGCATGACGTTTTTACTAATGAACCGGATCCACCAGGCGAACCTTGTCCCCATGCCGTTGACCAGGACATCCCCATCAGCTGATTATTTGCATATTCTAAAAATAGTGTACCGGTACATCATGTATGGACTAGTCTGGTGCCTTTCAACGCAGTCCGTAGATCAAACCATCACTGTACACTAAACATTTCTTTTTGTACCTATTTTGCAGTGCATGTAGATGTGCTGTTTTGACACAAGGAGAAAAATTCATTGAAAGCTAAAAAATATGAGTACATTCTACAAAGTTTACACACTCAACTGCTGCAAACATTTGTAACTGCTGTGTTTGTGACCGCATTTCCAAATCTGAACATATCTTCAGCGTCATATTATGCAATTTCTGAGATAACACAAGGACAATTCGCAACAGTGTTTCCTGGAAGTTAGCAATTACCCAAAACTCACTAATTTCATGAAGTCCTGGAAATGCCGCGGCAGGGTGGAAGGTGGCTCCACTCCTTCTCTCTCATGAGCCATGATGATGCGGCCAGCTTCATCGCCACGGTTACGCATCTCCTTCACCTGTGAATAATTTATCACTTAATGTTAAAGTTATATCGTACACAACCTAAACAGGAACATGTACAACTTCAGAGAAATCTCAATTCTAATTTCAATTGTTAACCCTAACTGCCCTGAATCCTTCAAAATCCTCTTTGCCAAAGTGGAGGAATTTGGAGGAGTGAGGTTACATGGCCAACGTGCGTTTACTGATTTCATAGGATGCACTTTGTCAAGGTCTTGGGCCGGACCTTGTGTTGGTTTTGCTCAGCCGTGCATAAATACAGGCCTGGATTATGCTTGAAATCCTCCGTACTGCTCCAGGATGTCACTGGCCAAGCCTCAACATATTGACAGTCATTTCCGCAGGATTTTGCAGGTTTCAGGCAGTGGTCACCCCTCCATGGACCATATTCAAGAATCAATGGAGGAATTTGCAGGATTGAGGCTATATGCTATTTCTCCATGAGGCCAATTGGAGGATTTTGCAGGATTGAGGCTACATCCTAGCAAAAAGGCCTAGGGAGTTAGGGTTAATGAGAATCACATTAACCCTTCATATCCCTTCACCTGAAACTGACCTGCAGGGTTTTACATATTGCTCTGACTATTGACTTCCCACTAGGAGGGTTAAATGAATGCTATATCTTTTTCTAATATCCGAGGCCCCAAAATTATAGTTCTGAGAGCTTTTTTCATGTAGCACTTGATTTTTAGTTAAAGAAGGAATTCAAGAACAAAAGCATGCTTCCGTTAATAAGTGATACAAATTATAACATACAAATCAGACAGGTGAATCAAAAAATGAGTGAAATGCATTTTGATAATTTGAAATCTAAATTGTAAAAGAAAAAAAAGTTTTGAAATACAGTAAACTCCGGCTAAACCGACTAGTCTGACTAAACTCCCGATTGTCCGTAATGCATTTCCATTCAATTTTTTAATTTCTAAGTCGGCTTTTATAAGTCGCCATTTTGCTCAAGTTGTCCTGTTACTCTCGGTCCCCTTTCCATAAAAAGCATTCCAAAATCCTTTGTGTAAGTCGGCATTCAACAACCCACTTTTCACTCGACTTCCTGTACTGGGGTTGCCAAAGTGTCGAGTGAAAAGTGGTTTCGAACGGCCCGTGATCGCTGCATGCATCGGTGTCGAAAAAGGGTGTCCTGCTGCATACATCGCATATGCCTCGTGAGCATATCAATACCAGTACCCCCTCTAGGCTGTACGCATGCGCTCTGTCCATTCTGGGGGTGGTCTTATTGAATGACTACTGCTGCAGTCAATGCGTGTGTGGTATATACCGTACCACGCACACATTTAATTTGTTACTGTGCACGTACATATGTATCGTGGTCTCCACTATCATTACCCCAAACGTGATGATAAAATTTGAGGATTAATTTGCTGGATTCAACTCAAGCATTAGGAGATAATCCAGGGTAAATCGAAGCCAATTAGTGCAATGAATCATGTGTGCAAATGACCATTCATGTAAGTCGGCAAAATGACGACTGACAGCAGATATTGGCATTCGCGGAAGTCGTCACAAATTCTCGGGTCCCGAGAGTGCCGGTTTAGCCGGAGTTTACTGTACATGTAAGAGAATTTCCTCTATCTGAAGTGTGTTCCTACCTTGAGTGGCATCTGAACAATGAAGTCTGTCAAGAGATTATGAAGCCTCCGTGGGCAAAACTCCTGTGTGGGCGAGCAGATTTCATAAGTTGTTAGCTATGATGGAAACGTATAAGGCTTGTTCTATAAAGTTGGGGTACACTTTTTCCTGTCCCTGTTTCACTGGACATCCATAGTTCTGTAATTTTGATGCACTCTTTAATGCAGTTGTACTGCGAGAAAACTTATGATTAGTGAACTAAGGCCAAAAAAAAAGTCTCCGGTTTCTGGTATGCGCGCGTCACCGTAGCCATGCGCGTCAGCAAAATGAAATTTTTTTTTTAATGTAAGATGATGTCTCAAAACCGCCAAACTCACTGGTTTGACAGGAATCCTGCTGCTGCACAATTTTAACGTGTTTTTAGATGGGGTTACAATCAAGTATAAGCTTTATGTGGCCTCTCTGGACTCCCATATATTTTGCACTAAATTTAGTCCGGCACCATTTGCAGTCATCAGCCGACATTTGAAAAAAAATAAAAGTAAAAATAAAAAAAGCCGCGTCGCTGCACCACTTTTGGGGCAAGCTCCATACCAGAAACCGGAGATTTTTTTTTTTGGTCTAACTACCCAACCAATACAAAAATATTTTGAAATTATTCTTAAAAAATGATACTTGAATGGCAAATTACAAGTACCAAGGTAACGGGGACGGGACAAAATGTCACACTTTGGGTATTAAATTTATTGAATGACCCAGACGTGATGACGAAAACGACTGAATTTGAAAATGAATATATTCCAACTTTCTTTCCACAGATGTTACATTTCTGAGATCTCACCGACTGGTGGAAGTTCTTCGAGGTCACCACGGCATCTTTCAGGAATCGGAAGACGTTATCTTTCATGGCATCATCCACTATCATCTCGTCCTCCTCAATATAGTCCTGCATAGCTGCAGGTAGACAATACAAATGAAAATTTAGCAAGATGACAAAGGGAAGGACCATACAACTGTAAAAAAATAAGCCCCATCTAACTTAAACCATTGCTATGATATCACACTATTGTTAAAAGTGTGGATTCGGAACTACGAATCTGTTACGCTGGTTACAAAGTGTGGATTCGGAACGAAGAATCTTAAGTAAAAGGTGGATTCGGAATTACGAATCCACACTTTGAACATGTCGGACAATCGTTCTCCATAATGAGCATTAATAGCACCATATGCGTGGAAATTTCCTTCCGAAATTACCAATGCATCTTCACTTGTCAAATTCTCCGCCATCACTGCAAGACCTACTTTGAGTCAGAAAGAAATCATTGTCTGAACTATCCATATGTCGACGGAAGGAAAAATGTTGCAACCCGACACCACTTTTTTCTTCATATATCATCTCAATGAAGGTCATTCATTGCAAAAATGATAAGACATGAATCTGGGACTGAGAAATATTTCCAATTTTGTTAGGAAATACTCAGAAAATTTTCTTGACTCTCCACAGACTTTGTACACAATTGCGGAAGTGGCGTCAGGTTGCAACATTTTTCCCAAGTCTTTTCATCTCCTCTCACTGTTAATGCCAATACTTCATTTGACGCAATGGTTTAAGTCGAAGAATACACTCGCAAGTGTGGATTCTTAAATTACGAATCCACACTTTCTCGTGTATTCTCCTTGACTTAATTGGCTACGGCTTGCATTTACACACGCGTGTATGGCAGCGGCTGAAGCCACTTCCCATAGTCACGTGTGTTACTGCTAGTCGTAGCCAAGTAATTTAAAATTTCAATTTCAAAGTGTTTCAAATTTAACATTCCAAGTGTTCCAAAAGGAACACTCCATGTGTTCAAAATGGAACACTCCATGTGTTCCAAATGGAACACTATTCCAAATGGAACACTCCGTGTGTTCCAAATGGAACACTCCGTGTGTTCAGTTCCAAATGGAACACTCCGTGTGTTCCAAATGGAATATTCCAAGATTTTGAAGGACAAACCTTCAAGTTCTGGTTGCTGAGCCACGTTGCGCAGCATCAGTGCCCAGGCAAAGCGAAGCACCGCAGCGATCCCTGGGCAGGCCCATGCCGTCTCATCCTTGACGATCAGCTGGTGGAGTTCCGGCAGGAACCGGGCGTCCCTGAGAACTGGAAGTTGCTTGGTCATTTCTGGAGAGGAGAAAAGGGGGAGGTTGATGCAGTAGGAAATACTTTGCAGCATAAATTTTTTTGGCGAGATACCAAAATCTACTGTGGAATTTGTTATGCCTTACACTCTAGGGTAACAAAATCACCATAATACTGGGCCAAGACACACTTACTTGTTGGACATCACCTTAAGTCCCAAGTTTGCACCTAAAGAGCATGTGGTATTGGTTTATTAGAATCAGAGATGTAAAGTTGGCTCAGGCATTTTGGGGGAAACTTGAGGTTTAAAAAAGTGTACGGCACCAAAACATCATCTTCCATGTGAAAAAAAAGCCAGCATATTTTGTAATTGGAACATTAACTCTAAGAACCTTTTTTCCCTTTTTTTTTCAGCAAGTCCAGTCACAAGTAAATCACAAGTCCAGTCACAAGTCCATCACAAGTCCAGTCACAAGTCCAGTCACAAGTACAGTCACAAGTAAATCACAAGTCCAGTCACAAGTCCATCACAAGTCCAGTCACAAGTCCAGTCACAAGTCCAGTCACAAGAAAGAGTGGATGAACAATAACAAAGGAATGCTTTTGTCAACGCTCATTTGAATAGCTTGTGAGTGTAATTGGTACTGGAGGACTTGTGATGGACTTGCAAGTACTTGTGACGGACTCGACTACATCCCTTAATCATACAGGCTCTGGGGCCCTGATGACAGAAAACAATGTGCAGGGGTTAGTGTAACTGTGAGGGTTTGTACCATCTCTATCCTCAGGACAGCTCTCCACGGCCCCACCCACATCCAGACAGTACAGGCAAGTCATGAGCAGAGCCAGGGTGACATTATCCATGGTACCGTCTCCTTCTAAGGAAGCGTGCTGCCTCAGGTGAGTGATGAGAAGGATAGTGTCCTGCCTGCTGGGGGCAGACTGGCAGGCCCAGGCAAAGAGACACTCTGCAAGGGAGGAACGGCTCTCCTTCAGCATCTCCATCACCTGGCAAAGAAAGAAAATAAGTCCAGTTTGCGCAACCCTAACTCCCTTGGCAGTTTGGCTAGGATGCAACCTCAATCCTTGGGAACAGTTTTCGCACCGCTGTGCTGTGCCTGACGATTGGAGTTCGAATATTTAACGATATTGTCACATAGTTGGTAAGTGGATGTAGCTTGCATCCATCAACCAAGTTATAAACCTTCAATATCATGGGAGTCTGGTTGGTGCAGCGTTGGCTTTCCTTGCCTTCAACCTCTGTGATTCGGGTTCACATCCAACCTACGCCGAGCAGTGGATCAGGTTTTCAGCCCCTACCTGATTCCTGGTCTTACTCTGAGGTTTCCCACTCCAACCTCTCAAGCTGAAGTTTTTTTCTTCATATTTTCTCTATTTCTTCAGGATGAAGGTTAAATTTAAGAGATACGAGGACAAATCCAAAGAAGTGCCTTTCAGTATTACAATAAACCACTGATGCTCAGGAATACAAGCATTGTTATTCTCTTCGATGTTAAAATCCAAAAACTTCGACTCAGCAACAAAATATAACCCTTTCATTTTGTTACAAAACTATAGCCACTTGACAGCTCTGAAAGAAAGAGATGACCACGAAAAGAAAAAGGATGATGGAATGTAGTCAGGTTCAAATGGATAACAGCTTGCAATTACCCATGCACTTCTGGAACAGGCATGCAACTGGGAATTTAGAAAAAAACGAGGAAACATCAAACCACACAAGACTTTGTACACTATTTTTTCAATTTGTAATGGCATACACGAGAAGTGGAAAACGGGGAAATCAGCGGATCCGAGGAAACGTTGCGTGCCTGCTGGAACCAGCTGAAGTCACTTGATAAAGTAGCCCAGTAATTCAGGCCAGCCTATTTAAAAAACTCTGGCGCTCCAGATGTGGGCACTGTAAGACTTAGCCATGTCCCAATTAACTGGCTACGGCTAGAAAGTACACACACGCCTATGGAAGCGGCTGCAGCCACTTCACATAGACCCGTGTGTTATTTCCAGCCGTAGCCAAGTACTTCGGACGCAGCCTTACCTCATGTCTGTGCTTGGCGTCCCCTAGCGCCCTTGCCTGGCCAAGTTTGTCCATCTGTTTCTCTACGTCCGTCTCCAGGAGCAGACGGAGGACCTTTCGCATCAGGCCATCCTTGATGAGCTTGTCGGTGAAGCGGGTCGTCAGGTCCGAGACCTCATCCTCCAACTCTAGGGTCCAGGTGCGGCCTGAGACAAAGGACAAGCAGTTTCCTTACTAACAAAATGAGACTGTAACTTGTACCCCTTTGTTTAAAACTGACTGCTTGACAATTACTTTTCGGTTATAAAGGATACAAACTCAAACAACATGGACACCGAAGTAAGATGTCATGAGGACTTCCTAAGTCCCGATAATGTTACAGTTTGACCCTAAGTTTGAAGTCGCCAATTTTTGGCACAAGTCAAACATATCATGTGAATACTGAAAACTCAATTTCCTGAGAAGACACTATGAGAGTTACTTTTTGATGACAAATGACAAACCTTTGCGTGACTGGATAAGAAGCTGTAGTGCATTGACAATACTTCTCCGACCATCATAGTACAATAAGACAGCAACAAGCCCTCGGGTAAGACCTGGAAAATGAGGCTGCTGTTGGTCCCCTGCGAGGTAAACAAACGAATAAATAGACAGGTAAACAAATAAACAATTTGTATACCCCTGGGTGGAGAGAAGCAAGTTGAGGTGAGGTGGCTTGCCCCAGCTCAAACATATGGTCAGCAGCTGGATTTGAACCCCTGACCCTCTGATCATGAGTCACAAACCCTAAACCCAGGCCTCAACCACCTAACAAACAAACTTTCCTATTAATCCTCCAAAATCAACCACTGTGAGGAACGGCTCTCCTTCAGCATCTCCATCACCTGGCAAAGAAAGAAAATAAGTCCAGTTTGCGCAACCCCAACTCCCTTGGCATTTTTGCTAGGATGCAACCTCAATCCTTAGGAACAGTTTTCGAACTGCTGCGCTGAGCCTAACGATTGGAGTTCGGATATTTAACGATATTGACACACAGTTGGTAAGTGGATGTAGCTTGCATCCATCAACCAAGTTATAAACATCTTCAATATCATGGGATTCAGCTTGGTGCAGTGTGGGCTTTCCAGTCACAGACAGTCAAAAAATCAATCCTCTTCCTCCTGCCCATGCCTTTTACACAGGCTAGTCACCCACAATCAGATCAGATTTCAAGCAAGCACAGTGACTAATCTAATTCAGTCAACAGACAAAAGCTGACAAGTAGTAGGCACAGCTGGCTTACCAATCACCTACAGGCAAAGAACATAGCTGTACCAACTTACATAAACAGCCACAGCCAGTCAATCCTGCTTTATGTAGGCTGGGAGCTCTGAACTGTTGAAAACAGTCACTTGATTGATTTTGACTGAAAGGACAAGTTAGCACAGAATGTATGCTTGCATACGAGGGTTAATAGTCAATGGGCATCAAATCCCATGTAGACTATCAGTGGCCAGACTCTTCCCTCCTCAATCCGGCAAGATCTCCCAACTTTTTAAAGGAATTTGAAGGATCTGTTAAGGTCTGGGTTAAGACACCTACCAGATAATAAGAGCTCCACAGCAGCATACTCGTTCAAGTCAAACAGGTCGCTGATGATCAAAGCCTCATCTATGAACTGTTTGGGAAACGTCTTAGTTCCGGGATGACCTTCGATTACCAAGCCTGTCTGGTCGGCCTTCTGAATCTGCAGGCGGTGCTGTGCATTCTTGGCCTGACGATAAAAGACCATTACAAAAGTCCCAAAAATAAAATCAAAAGTATTAACATGTATCTTTCTTATATCATGTTTATTCCTGAATAAAACATTAGTTAACCCTTTCCTTTAACCACAATGCTTAATGACTTGGCTCTCCCCAGAACCAATTGTTTGTTCAATTATGAGGAAAATTACGAGAGTGTGAACAGTGTTGTGCGTAAAAGTTTGTTCCTTGAACTTTACTCTTTCATGTGATGTGAACACCAAGGCCATCCAAGAATGTTATTCCTTTTTTTTTTATCTGTTCCATTTATCAAACAAGCCATTTCACCACATGACCAAATAGCACTCCATACTTCAAATTGTGCATGGATACTTCTGAAGTAGTTTTCTCAAATATCCATGAAGGTAAACCTTATGAGTAAACTACACAATTAAAACGATCCGAAAACACTCTTTCAGCTGGTATATTGTTGGTGTATGGATGGTAAAACATCATAACACTATACCAGCTTGTTGAAAAGCAATGAATGTAACTACAGTATGTTGAGGGTGTTCTGCGTGTGGTTTCCTTGTCGACTAAGGGTTAAGGAAAGGGTTAAGCAGTGGTCTATGCACAGGAATGTAAATTTTCTCACAACTTTCAGCAGGAAATTCGGGTTATACATTGGCAGGCCCAAATGGAATAAACAAGTTATTGCCGATTTTACAGCTTAAAGTAAAGTCCATCATTTGTAATTTGTGCATTTTGTTCGTTTGAAGCAACAAAAGTGCTCAAAGTCTAAAGAAGGGAACTGAACAACTAACTTGATGAAGTTTCAGCTAAGCTTCAGCTTACTAGGATCTCAATTTCAAATCAAAGTTACTGAATCATGTTTTGAATTGTTTTGAATTCCTGCTGTACACGACGTCGTGCACTGATCCGACGAATTATAACAACCGCGCGCGCGTGTGCGTTGTGCCAATGCTTGCGCGCGCTTCGCCGAATAACAAAACGAACTACTAATTTAAATTTTCCTACAGTGCGTCTTAAGACGCACCATTGGAAAGGCCTTCTTTCGTTGATTACTTCAAAATGACAGCTTCCCAGAAAGAATAATTTCACAGGGAGTTTAGTCCCCTTACTATCTTTCAACCAAGTTTGTTTTTCAACAATAATTACGCCAGTTACTTTTCGGATGGCTGCAAATGATGGACTATAGCTTTAAGTTTGCCAGCAAATACACTAAAACCACCATTGGAGACCTCCTTACAGGATTCTGCAGCAGGGAGATGAAGTCTGGCTTGTGTTTCCGGATGGCAGCGTCTAGTTCATAGAAGGCGTCGGGGAGTTTCTGTGAGAGGGCAGCATGCACGGTACGCAGGAGCTCCTTAAATGGACTCCACAGGTTACTCCCTAGATTCAGACATGAAAAACAAGACAAGACACTTCAGTCACGTCAGTTGAATTCAGTCAGTACCACACCATCCATTTACAAGGTAAGATAATGTAGCAAACACATACACCCTTTTAATTCTGTAAGAAAATGTAAAAATATGTAAAAATCCTGCTCTCATTCAGGTGATTGGGTAGTTACACCCTGTTCTTATAGTCTTACTTAAGTTATAAGAGAACAAAAAAAATCAGTCCTTCTGATTTGAAAATAACAGGCGTGTGGAAAAAGGCACACCTAGATTTTTCTAGGCGTGTGATTTATCTAAGCGAGTGATTCTGTGGTCCAAGCTGGGACTGAACAATCTGGTATTTTTTGGGGTACTATTCATCTTTGTTTAAAGCTGTTTTCTCTTCACCGACATACTTTTTTTCCATAAATTATTAAGTATTTATGCCGTAAATGTATGCTGAGGTGTGCGGTACAGAGGGATTCAGGCATGCGATTATTTGCACTTCTCAGGAAGCTTTTAGGCGTGAGCTTGTCTTACATACGCAGTGTGGACTTCCGAACAAAAGACGTCCACATAATGTAGGTAGCAGCGACGAAGTGTGGACTTGCCCACGTCCACACAGTGTTTCCCCATTTCTGGAAAACAGGTTTAGAGGCATTTTTGGGTTAGGTTTATCTGTAGCAGAATGAAGAGAAACACTAAAGGGAATCATTGAAAAAAAATTGGGTTGTAAGAGTTTTCACAGTTTGAGAAAAATGAGTTTTTCCACTGGTGTTCCTTAACTACACGAAAAGAAAGGAAAGTCCACACTAGGTATGTGAAACAAGTCTGGGTGCGATGGCGTGGGTGTGTGATCGCACGCCTCAAATCAGAAGGACTGAAAAATGTTGCAGACGTATACTTTTCGTGTAATTTTTATGTTGGAATTTAGATAGGCCTATGCTAATGTGTGCAACAGAACCTGGAAATTACATAAAATGTAGGCGTCTGAAAAAGGGGGGACTAGGCCTACTGTTCTATCGCTTTAAATTAAAGAGGGTGAATGTGCTTCTAACATGTAAATAAACTACAAACGAAGTCTAAATGTGTAAAACTCCAATAAAAACTTGACGAAGTTCTATATTTTCGGGTACATGTTCCAAGTGTGGCCTATTTACAGAGGTAGTCCAGTAGAGTAAATTGGCCACATATTTATGGGGCTATGATGAGGATGGGATGAAAAGATAATCTCATTAAAAATCGGTAGCCAAATCGCTACATCACTTTTTAGCATTTAGGGGAGCATCGCCTGTCTGGCCGTAGAGCTTGCGATTACAGTACGGCCAGAGGCAGTCAGGCTGTGTGATCTGGGTAGAAATATTATATTTCCAATTTTGTTAGGAAAGCTTCTTGACCAGTCCATGTTGACTCTCCATAGACTTTGTACACAACCGCTGAAGGAAGCGCCGTCTGGATACTATCTTTCCAAATCGCCAAACAAGCTAGTAATTATGTACACATAGATATTTTCAAATAGAAAACACACAAAGCATGTCTGTAGGCCTATAAAACCAACATTATTCCTCACCTAAATTAACCGCTTTGCTGTCCGCCATCTTTCAAAAAGTCTTCTGCATGCCGATATTTTTGAAGAAGCATACCCAACCTCACTTAACGTAAAACGTGCAATTACAATGAATTGGGCTTTGACACCAGTCTGGATAAGTTGCTCGATTAGCGCCCTCTCATGACGTCCAATTGATGAGGGCGCTGCCCTCTCTATCTCGCGCACAGATTCACAAAGGTTCAGTGCTTGGGTGCAATGCAGTCATCTTGCACCTTGTCAGTATATCTGACTCGGGGCTTGTGATTTTCTTTATTTTCTGGACGTGTGATGATAGGCCTGTGATGAAATCACAACGACCACAACACTGCAAAAGTTTTAGACCCCTTTCATACCTTCATGTACCTGTTATAGTTTTGTGTGTTTTCCCATTCCTCCGACTCTAGATCCTAGGCCATCAAGAAGAAAAATAAATTGGAACGCGTCCCCAAGTCTAATTGTTAGTAATGATCCGACAAGTCCAGCCAATTGGAATTCGCACACTGGTTGTCTTTGTCAGGAACATCATACATTCTATGAGTCGGAGGAATGGGAAAACACACAAAACTATAACATGTTCAGAACCACACATATACTCACAAAAGAGATTTATTCACATGGTCACGCTACCGCAAAAGAGATTTATTCACATGGTGCTACCGCAAACTTATCTTGTCTTAGTATCTTTACACCATGCAAACCTTCAAATCTAATGTTCCTTAATGTTTTCGTTTTCCGTGCTGTAGCTACGGGGAAAAAAATAGCCGAGCCATTTTTTTTTCTACGAGAGAAATTGTAAAATATCATCGAAGTTATATTGATATGACTTGGTCGAAGCTGAATTTTTCCAAGCAAGTAATATACGTGGCAGTATCCGCATTTAGGCATCTCTAAGAGCTCCTGATAATAAAGTCATGATCTTCACGAAAGCATAAAAGTCACAAAATGTTTGGCTTTGATATTCTGTTTATGGGTATGGGTAAAGAAAACATCTGCAAATATATCTTCAAAGAAAACATGTTAAACGAATTTGGAGCAGGAAAAAAGGTAGGTTTTTACCTGAAACAATTGACCAAACGTTTTGTATGCCCCCCTATGAGACCCATAGAACCCTCCCCTCTCCCTGCTATTGAGACCCCAGTTACGCTACTGTTGACTGTTGAGATGGCGATTAGAAGGGTTCCAATTTACCAGCATGATTGCATGGTCGTTAAATCACATTTCTACAATCTGAAAAACAGTCATGAAACTGCCGTCGTGTGACCGGTAGGCGTACAATACAAAGCATTGACCTCTGACTCGGGTTTTTCCCGAGGAAATATGCAAATCCAATAATTCCATATGTCCATACATACGTGCCATATCCAAATTTCGTATTTTGGCCAATCCCAGCCAACCTCAGACATTCCTGTTGACTTTCGACCAATCTGAACCGTTCTTACACTTTTTCAGCAAACATCGAGACTAGTGCGTGTTAGTCCGCGGATGAAGAAAAATAGGACCCCATTTTCTGATTAAAAATGGTTTATGAATTATGATGGTTTCCTTTTCAGCAGCGTGCATGAAGCACTATATCGTTGTTATAAAAAAAACAAGTCATGACGTTACACAGAAAAAACATAACAAGACAAATTGGTGATTGTGTGATGTGCGGAGACAAAAAAGTGATAGGGTTTTTGAACCGCATTACGCCTTGAACCTGTCGTCTGACTTTCGCCCGCTCTGCTTGCATTTCAAGATGGATGCCGTACATTTACAACTTGTGAGTATTTTTGTTTTAAAATTTTCTTTCTTTTTCTGCGATGAAATTATATTTTAATTAACAATTGATGCCTTGAGAACAGTGAAGATGTTAAATAACTCTAGGTAACACAGAAGCAGTGCTTATGAAGCTGTCGCCGCGTTCGTTTTGCTCCGTAATTCACGGCGAAATTCGACGTGAAAAAAAATGAAGCGTGTTGTTGACGACCCTAACGTGGCGCGGCCCCCAACGTGGCGCACTTTGATTTTTCGCATGTAGCGCCTACCTAGAGCAAAACTTTTAACTGAAATTTCACAGAAAGAGAAATTTCATCAAGTTCTAAACACTCCTGTTCATAAATCGCGAGTTTATTCACCCGTAACAAAGTAAGAAGAAAAAATTATTTTGACGTGATTTTCCGATTTTATTTTCAAGTGCAAAGTGAACCCTTTGAAAATGCCCCGGAAAATAAGAAATTAATTTTCTGATAAACATATGGCTGGGTATGTAAGTAGAGATAATAGTTATTTATCAGAATTTATCAAGTTTACAGAAATTCGTAAATGTTAATTTGGAATTTTCCGAGATTTATTCAAGTGCGCCACGTTGTGGTCCAATGGTTACGGTGTTCGACTCGTGTGCCGTGGTGCATGGGTTCGAATCCTGATCGTGGGAACATGGTGCTTGTGCTCTTGAGCAAGGCACTTTACCATTATTGCTTCGTCCTTCGGATGGGACGTGAAGCCGTAGGTCCCGTGTGTTGTGTAATGCACGTTAAAGAACCCAGTAACACTTATCGCTAAGAGAAGGGGTTTGCCCCGGTGTTTCTGGCAGTGGCTGCAATGTGCGCCGCAGCACCTTGTAAACCATTATAAGGTGCTACATAATGGGTCTCATATTTCTCATAAACTTTATTGACCTTTCTTTAATAATTGACAAAATTTCCAGCGCCTTGAGTACCTAATTGTTGGTAGATACGTGCGCTATATAAGACTATATTATTATTATTAAAGGGGGATAACAAGTCAAAGATTAAAGGTATATTCCAAAGACACAGAAATCTGGGAATATGTATTGCTCATTTTATTTCATCCGTAATTTCCTCAGTGTTGAAACTGCACTCATCCATGTCGATGGGCATTCCTTACTGAAAATGCATCAGATAATACTATCTTTGATATAATTAACAAAATTACAAATAAATAATGTTTGATTTTGGAAAAAGGCCGACAGGATTCCCAAAATTACATATGATTGTCTGAATCGTTTTTGTATAATTGATCACTGATACAGAGAAAAAAACTGAACGAATTCATTATTTCATTTGATGAAAACTGTATGCACATAGTTGGCAAAAACATACAATACACACCCCATAAAAGTCAACACGCTTTTGATATTGTATATAAAAAATACGCACTTGGTTTATGTGCACATATTAACACATCAAGCGTGTAACAGTCTAGAAGAAACACACTTTGAACACACTTTAAAAACCAACTACACGCACCACTTTGGGTAAATGGGTAACAACACGGCATAGTAGAGAAGTATACTACTGGATAACAATCAATGAATAACAATCTTTTTTTTTCAAACCAAACAATCTTTACAATTAACACACTTTTTTGGCGGTTAAGATTAAGTTAAAAACTAGAACAACAGACTCAAATGCTACACAGAAAAATGGTATTGAATTCGCACTTTTTTAGACTAGTGAGGAAAACATCAGGCAAAAAGTCGCATAGTACCAAGAGCGACAATCCACTGGCTGTACCTGAAGTACTGGCTGAAATCGCTGGCAAAATAATTCTACTGATTGTCAAGTGCTTTCACAAATGAATGTTGGTTTTAATATAATTCATTAGTAAATAAGTTGGCAATGGTCGACGAAAGCTTGTAAAAGGGAAATGTAGAACAACACAGATTCTAATTGGCGGAAGTCCCTTCAACATGCGGACACCATTTTTTTTTTAAAGGATGGTCGGGGGAGGGACAGCAAAAGGTACAGTTTAGGTTCATCTGTGAAATGTTCACAACTGAATATGACAAATATTACCCAATGGGCACCAGAAACGTCCTTAAATTTTGCCTTTTTGATACATGGTACACCCTCAAAACGTTGAAATATAACTCTAAACCCAACAATCTAAGTTTAAGATATGTCGGGTTTAAGGCAAATAACTGGCACTGAAGTTAAGTCTAAGTACAAATTGTTTAAGTACAAAACAGCCCAAAAGTCTATTTCTACTGAATACAAACACGTGGGAAAACCGGGAAACCTTTGAGAATGCATACTTCAAGTATCACTGAGTAGGCTCAAGTTTACAAGGAAACACTAAAATAATTACCACTTCAAACAATGCATTTATTAACTAGTAACAGTTAATTATACATACAAACACAGAATCCAGAGCATTATAACAATCGTCAAGACAAAACTCAGTTTAAGCATTTTAGATACAGAAACGACACAAAATGCTGTCAATGTATAACTTTATAATTTCTGTAGGCCAAGCGGGGACCAACATCATCTTGCACAGCAAGAGTCTATGCAAGCAGTTTCGGCGATTAATTATGCAAAACAAGACGGCGTCTTTACCTCAAGACTCTGACCACTCAGTGGCAGCCAAATTGACCAATCAACAGCTTAGTCCACATTTCTGATGGAACTGATGTCACAATTTCTAAAGCTGATCCCAAATGGCTGGTGCGCGGGGCTGCATACAAATTGTATTGCTCACATAATTATATCAAACGTTGGTTACGGAGAGGGCTCCGTATTGTTTTAATAGAGGTAAATACGGACATAATGCTGGGCAGATTTCCATGTTTCTGCATAACTCTTGTTTATAAACTGATAAAGGCAAACTATCGAGATCATAGCAAAAAGCTCATATCCCGATATTGAGCCATGAATGAAATTTGTCCGTTGACGGTGTTTTTCACAAGTTCACAAACTGTGACTATTTCCAATGTTCACATAATTTCCTGAGTAACTTGATAAATAAAAAAAATGCAGTCAGAAATCGGTATGCATTTTATAAATTGATACAAGTACTTGCAAAAGTGGTGGATTGTCGGACTTTTTTCTTCACTCTTCTGGAATGCCAAGCATCTATTTACACAACCATATCCTACTTTCTCATCAATAAATTAACTTTCCATATAAAGGAAAGGAAAAACACCCGCAAAATATAGTTATTTTTTTCCCAAACAGTCAAGAATCGGACAAATAAAAGCTGTATAGGTGTTGATGCACTTTAACACGGTATACGTACATGTTAAACAATACTGTACACATATTTTTGTTTATACAACTTTTTTGAAAAAGACAGAATACACATATTTATAACACGCACGTTGCACTGCTTTCTTAACTCGACAGACACAATCCAGCTACAATACAAACCGTCATTTTTGTAAAATGAATTCTTAACAATTTCCTCGCAAGAATGAGACCAAGGAAAGTCTGGGTCAAATACTGTATCAACTGCTACATTTGTTTAACTTGTTAGATAATGGAATTGCAAAATATTTTGGTTATCAAATACATTTCATTTTCCATTGCAATAACATCATTGCAATTGCCAATTTTCCGGTTCCTAGTTTACAAAGGCCTTAATACCTGGGTCTGGTACCCTGAAACACGGAAATGCTATATCCCATAATAACCCCCCACCCACCCCGACTTAAGACTGTCGGACTCCAGTACTGTAGGGCTATGGCTATAACAATAATTGGGCATTAACTAGGTATTAACACTTGCAATATTTTCAATAGGAAAATAAACGGTCTCTCTCCTCTGATAAATGTATATATCTTTAAAATGTTTGATTGTCCATCTCCTATTGCACTGTATATTCCCTGCATAATGGCTATATACACGACCCTGTTTCTCAAGATTTTACTCAACACGCATCTGAGATGTAGTGGAGTCCATCTCAAGTCCCTGCTAGTCCATCACAAGTCCTCCAGTCCCAATTCAAATCACAAACTATTTAAATGATATTTGGCAAAGGCATTACTTTGTTAATGTTATTGTTCATGCACTGTTTCTTGTGACTGGACTCGTCATGGACTCGACTACTTCCCGACGCGTGTAAACCTTGCATTAAAAACTGAACTGAAACGCTGGGCACAATTTTCGGCACAGGTGAGAACATATCATGGGAGGGGACGTGTGTTAGGGGGAGGGGGTATGTGTGTTAGCACGTCTTTCAAGTAGGTGAACATTTCATAATTAGTGAATAGAAGGGATGGGGATGGGCCGAGGGTAAGGTGGGGGTGGGGAGGGGAGAAAGGGCCAATAAAATAACTTCAAGTATGTCAATAATTTACGTTCGACTTTCAAAACAGTTAATCTTCCATATGGCAAGATGGGATTAAATTTCATTTTCTTAAGAAAAAACAAAAAAATGGTAAAAAGTAGCAGAAACAGAGTGGGTGCAGGGGCCCCAAGAACGGACAACTCAGTTGAGAAGCATATCTCATTGCATTATGTCCCTAAACCGTTGTTTCCTTATCACACACAGAAAAAACTCCAGGAATTCGACTCTGTGGACACTTGATATGCATCTTGACGTATCCCCGTATTGTAGCGCATTGCGTCTCCTTGCCCACCATTCTCATCACTGCAGCTGCATTGTGTTGTCATGACTAAAACAATGAACACCATTGTTGCATAGTAGAAATCTGAATAGGGTTAAACAAAAGGAGATGTGGCAGAGATGTTAATTAAATGAAGTTGTTTGTAACTTGCAGATGTGAGGTGAAAACTGTGCAGTGAAAATTTACAGTCTGTTTTTAAAAAATGAACACAACAAAAAGCAACATAACTACATGTATAATTATGAACACAACTACATGAACACATCTACATGTGAAGAACAATGGGCAGAATAGACAAGTGAATACATATATCCACAAAACGTTGTTTTAACTGAGTGAAACTGAAAACTGAACCGAATATTCACATTCTTTGTGGGAAGTTTGTGTCCAATCATTGCAGCTCTTAGATACTCAAGTTATGATAAAAGTTTTATCTTAAATGTGCTCATTGGTTAACTCATATGCCAGAATTTATTTCACATAAAATATTGTTGGGGCTTGTGCCAATAACAGAAAAACAGAAAAACATGAGAAAACTAGACAGGACTTACCTAGGAACATATCTCAACACAATATCTGTCTCAAACAACCAAAAGAAAAAAAGCGAAAAAAACAACAACAAAATACTCCAACCCCCCCCCCCCCTCAAATTTGAAACGAAAACAACAAAGCTGAAAAAAAAGGATGGAGTGTGAAATAGTCTGTATTCACGCTCAACAATCTAAAGCCAAATTTGAAAAATAGGCTTAAGTCATAGAAAGTTGATTAATTCCCCTCCCCCTCCAATGCACAGTGTACCAACAATGTTGGCATGGTAATCAAATATCACACGATAAACAAATATCACACCTCCAAAAAAACCCAACAAATCATTGCATGAAACTACCGTAAAGTTTGCTCAATATCAGTATTGATCAATCAATAAAACAAAAATGTGAATGAAATGACAAGGACAGCAAGAAAAACCAGGACAAGTATCAGAGACACAAATATGGACTACAGATTAGACTAATTTTTAATGAATTGTCATGACAATATGGATACATACGTACAGACAAGGAAAAACACAGTGACATCAACGTGTACTGTCTAAATAAACCTGGCTAGTATTGGCTGATGAAATTCTTGCTAGATATATCCTGTTTCCGACTGTCAAACTGATTACATGTATGTACCATTAAACAGGCAGATATACATGTACCATGGATGCCAATGGATAGGCGGTCATCATGGAAAGGTGGCCGGCAGGGATTGGTAGCCAACATGAACAGAAGGCCACGGATAGACAGCCAGCATGAAATGGTGGCCTGTATGGATAGGTAGCCAACATGAACAGAAGGCCACTATGGATAGGCAGCCATGACATAATGGTGGCCAGTATGGATTGGTAGCCAACATGAACAAAAGCCACTATGGATTGGCAACCACCATTTAATGGTGGCTAGTAGGGATAGGAAGCCAACATGAACAGAAGGCCACAATGGATAGGTAGCCAGCATGGAATGGTGGCCAGTAGGGATAGGTAGCCAACATGGACAGAATGCCACTAAATGTAGGCAGCCAGAAGGGAATGGCAGGAAGTTGAGATGCCAGCTTTCATGAACAGATGGCTACCTGGAACAGGCAGCCATCACATAAAGATGGTAGCCACAATACCAGGTACATGTATCTAGGCATGTGGCAACTACAAATTTACATTTTTGGGGGGCCTGGATTCCTCAAGTGCAAAGCAAAATTTGAGTGAGCAAACAGTTTGAGTCATTTTAGCCTTACAAACTAAGCTTTCTTAACAATTGCCAACAGAAACAGGCATTTGCATTTACCAGTAGCCAGTGCTGGCTGTTTGAGGGGCCATCTTAAAACCGTGCTTATGAGCAACAACTGTTTAGGCCTTTTGCCAATACTGTCTCACCCACCCGTGTTGAAATCAATATGTATCAAGCAGAATTGGGATCCTCATGGTAGTAAGGACTACCATTCACACTAGGTCTGTGTGTACACCCGGGTTTTGTATACGGGTCAGCAATGGATTTGGGATTGTCTACCTGGGTAGAGTCTCTCAACCTGGGCTTGATTTTAGCCAAAGGACTGATGTAGAAGCCATGTTGGATTCTTGCAAATGTGAAAGGGGTTCAAACACTGAGATTATGGAAAGTGTAAAAAGTATTTGAGGTTATTTCCTACTTCATGAATTAAGAAGCAGAATCAGCTGGGGGGGGGGGGATAAAAACATTGGCCAAACATTGCCAGGTACTTTTAGACAGACACTCAATATCACAGTATTACATACAACTACATCATTAACATTACAGACTACGATGACATCGCAACAAGTAAGCGTAAAGAGTACAAACAAACAACATCCACAGAGAAACTTCCCATGTAAAACCAACATTAACAAAATACAACATGATTGAAGATGATTGACAAGATTAACAGATACAATATTTCCCCAAATACACAAATGGACTTTTTCAAACTAAGGCTCATCCAATTCCAACCAAAATACCGTGACAATATCAGAAACCAATAATTTGGAAACTATATAAGTTGTCAAAACCAACTCTCGGTTAAAACCAACTTGCCTCTTTGCTTTTTGCTTTGTTTTTTTTTTAACACAAATCGTAAATCTGTCAGTTCTTGGTATACTTTTGGGTGCTCTCTCAATCTCACCCAGAAAATTTTGTTTAAGAACATAAAAATGAGGGGGGAAACCACAAACATGAAATGCTTCAAAAATGGCACATGGACTGACAAGAAAAGAGTGGTATCCACATACACGAATATAATAGAGAACGCATTTTACTCATTGAAATGCACAGGAATACAGCTCTTTTTCTCTCTTCTTTTTTTTCTCGGTTTTTATATACATCTTTAGTGCACCTCATGATTGCACGGTTTGTTGTAAAACGTTATCAAACAACGACAGTACATGAATGCTGACAGTAATGCTATGGCTGGTGTATCGCACACAAGTACAACTACAGGACACCGGGTACTTGGATAAAAAGAAACCACCCCTACATTTATAGAAAGGAAAACAAAATACTTTTGATAGTGAATTATCATCCCATCAACGCAGTTCCAAGACGGGAAATCTTCCACTGAAACAGGGCATCTTTTCTTCTCCACAATAAGGAATTCGGTTAAATACCTTGTATTAGTTTTGATGATTGATAAACTACATTTTCCCCCTTATGAATGAAGGATAGTAATGCTATTTGCAACTTTTGACTAGCAAGTACTTAAGAACACAGCCGACTGACCTATGATTAAGCTATTTCTAAAAGGAAATGGCTATCAAGTTTTAAAGAAAGCGATCCAGATATTCTCGAAAAAAAAAAAAAACCAATCTCGAAAAACAACCTCACATTCCAACTTGTCTATCTCAACAACTCCCTGCCAGGAAAAACAAAATAAAAATTAAAACCCTGTATGATGAAAAACTTTTTGATTAATCATTTCAGTAATTATTTAAAATGACTAAAATTTACCTCTAGGGGAACAAAAACATGATGGCACACTTTCTTGGCCAAAAAAATATGCTTAAGCTTACTTGGTAACAATATAAATGCAAAGTAAGTGATCTTGATCATTAATTTAAAAAACTTAATAACTTAGCTAAAGAATTTAACATATTAAGGATGTACACAACAGTAAGTGACATTAGATTTATACATGAAACAACTACAGCAATTAAATAATGGCAGTACAAGCAAGGAACACAACTACTTTGTATCTCATTCATCACAAATATTAAAGGTGACCACTGATTCCTTTTCCTAACAGATATAGCAATTACTAATCTTGAAACAAAAGATGGGAACAAACTGTTAATGTGAGTGTTACATGTACACAACTACAGGAACTAACTAACATTTACTTTAACAACAAACAACAATTTTGAACACTTTTGTTAACAATCAATGCAGATACATATTCTGGTAAACAAGACCGTTAAACGTCAGACCAAGAAACTAACACTAACTATAAGAGAAAGCGAGAACGAACAAACAAACTTTTCTTTTGTTAAATAAAACGATTAAAATAATTGCTGAAAATAGTCAAAGAATGAACATGCTTCCTTACGTTGAACAACAACCATCATTGAATACATTGAGTTTAATATACACAAGATCATTACTTAAACAACCAAAAACTCTCAAAAAATTACGCAATCTTCTAAAAGATTGATCGAAACGGATGACTTCTCCCAAGAAATATCGCCAACAAAAAATAATAAACATTCTTGAGATTGGATGGGGATAAAGCTAAATATGAAACGACTAACATGCACAAAAACATTCCGTCAAATTACATGTCAATATCAAACATTACTCCTAAATATCAACTCTCACTTAATTCAGTCTTTTTCCTACAACTATTGATTTTCTTCACAGAAAAAAGAATGGGACATTTTTCTTTTACTATTTTTTTTCATAGCAGCCATCGAACAATCTTAATTTTGAAATCATATTTTTAAGTAGTATACAATACAGTCCTGTATGTACACACTTATTTGTTTGTTAATTAAATATTGCAGTACACGACAATGCACCCAACTGCAAGTTCAACACTTATATATGAAGGGTCACAGAAAAAAAAAAAACATTGAAAAATACTACCAATAAGTGAAACTAAAAAAAAAAAGTTCTAACGGTACACGTCAAGCCAAAGTTGGCTTTTGAAAAAATGGAACTTGTGTGATTAAAAAAAAACTTCAGTAAATAAAAAAAAGAGCTTTTTAGTTCCACATCTTTTTCCGGAAATAAAAATCAAACCCATCATTATCGTCGACATTCTCCGCCATCGCCTTCAATCCCTGACGACTTTCAAAATATATACCTGAAAAGGTGCATCAAAACACTTCACGTACATTTTTACATTAGTTTGTTACATATTCTTAACTATAATCTTTGCGAAAAAGTGACACCAATTTTTTATTTTAACTTTGGACGAGATCCCACAGAGTAAAAACATGGGGGTCATTTCCAAAATTCCTCAACAACAAATTTTCAAAAGGATTTTAGCTCCAGCTTAAATCATTAGATTATAATTTTTTGTTTTAAATTGTATAAATTGCAAAAACAACTGCCAGTTGTATCCTACAGCGAGATAATCGAAATGGCAATTACGAGCAGATTAGGCACGTAAACCTAGTGGCTACCAGTTGAATAGCTGCGTTTGGCTGAAACATTCTTATAAATGAATCTACTAAAGAAACTCCTAGTTTACAGTTCTGATCTACCAAACAAGAAAACTCTTGACAAACTTCTCAAACACAGCAGTTTTGAATATCAAACATGACAAACAGAAAACCTTACCATTTTTTGGAACAAAATCCCCAAAACACACTATTGCAAATTGAACTTAAATATTTTTTTTTTACAAATTGAAACTGATCTCATTTGTTTTCTTTTTTCTTTTGAATAAAATGAAAGGTCTCAAACTAGCAGCAGTGATATCGCAACAGCACAACGATCAAATCTACAGAATTATGTACATTACCATGCCAACACAATTCAGCAGTCAATGCCTAAATCTAACTTTTGTGTTTTTTTACAACTTGTGATCATTCTCGTTTATTTACAAATTTCTGATCAGAAATGCAAAACAAAAATGGGGAGACAAACAGGTAGCCCTAAATGATAGATATGTTCTTGCCCGGCACATTTACAATTTACAAGAAGTATTTGCATGAATTTTTTTTGACAATCACAACATAGATCAGAAGTGAGTATTAGTTACGGGTCTGACATATTAAGCCAATGAAGAGGCTGCTATTATTGAGTTCAAGCATTCATGACATAATTTATTTTCCGATGAAAAGTTCATATGTAATCTTCATCTTGTGAGAGAACATTTATTTGTTTCTACAAAAATTCTTTCTTTCTTAAGAAACAGTATGTTGCATGATTTGACATTATTTTCTTACAAAGTTCATAATTTTCCTATTTTTGTGAAGATGGTGTCACACTGGCTATGCCCATTTCACATTACATGAATGCTGGAAAGGTCTACTTTGAAATCTTGAAGACTGAGAGCAAATCTTAAAAACAAAACCCAAATTGTTATGAAGTTATAATCCAATCTTGAAGGAACATTTTTTCTCATTTTGATGTTTAAAGACCGGTTGATTACTTCATGCAAAAGCAAATGCGAATAGCAGATTCCTGACATCATGGCAATTACCTGTGCTGCGAATTTACAAAACTTGAGCTCATGTCAACTCTGGCGAATTTCGCTGCAAATGTGTCATGAAGTCGAACTGGATTCACATTCGCATCCTTGTGAAGTACGAACCCGCCTTGTGTATGAGATAAGTTGGGGGTATATACATACATGTATTTCAATAAATGTTGCATGTTATTTTGAAAGTTCTCTAATGTCCGTCATGAACAGTGAGGATTTAGTTCTTGCACTTTGATTGTAGAAGGTGGTTTCAAACCTTTAACTTTCAAACCAACTGTGAGTTTTTGGACGAGACACTTTCCGCCACAGTTAAGTAACAAACAATCAAGACAATGAGAACTTTGAAAAAACACATTTAAAACGGACCTTTACCTAATGATACATGTACATCTAAAGCCGTGATTCGCTTTTTATATTTTAAGCTTTGTAATCTTCTAGACTATTACAAACAGTCCTATAAATTAAAGAGCAGCCATTTTGGTTTCCAGCTAAAATGGCGTTCTTGCCCAAAGTAGGCCGGTGCCTCTAAATCATAGTGACTTTTCAAAGTGTTATATATGCCAAGATGGCGGTTTTGTAAGAGAAAAAAATCCAACCAAGTTTTGTACACTTGTAGTTTGTTATACATATAGCGAGACATGACGTGAACAACATTGAAATCAAAAGCTATGCGTGATTTGGACGCAAATGCGGACGGTTTTTGACACGGTACGTGACGCCACACAACAACGCAGATGGTACGGTTACATCCGAAGGGCTACGAGCATTGACACGGTCAAGACGTGAACATGGTGACAGTTGGGACAGCAACGGACAGAATCAGAAGAAGTGATCTGATTGGGCAGGGGGAAAGAGAGCAAAGAACAGAGACGATATTTAGAGAGGAAAAAAAAAAAAAACCCACATGAACATGTAAATAAATATTGACACAATGCAAACACGGAACAAGTATGAGAAGCAGATGAATGTTATCAACTCAATCTCCTGTCCGCTAGTACATTCATTCTTTCTGAGGAAGTCATCAAAATATCTAAACCACAGCTTCACAAACTTACATGTACCGGTAGCTAAAACAAAAATGCAACCAGTGGTGGTCATACAACATATTGACTGACGGCAGCTGACCACTCATTGGTTTGCAGGAGATTTCATTCATCGTTGCATAATTCTCTTGAGATTAGTTGAAGCATGTTCCAAATTCACCGAAGCTTTTTAGGAAGCCCAATAAACTTGGGCAAAGAGCATCAGCATTGGAAAGTTCAAATGTCAATGCATTCCATCAACTCATCAAGAGTTCTTTCTATTGTCCGAACACAAATGTACACTTGGAAAACAAGTGTTTCCACACCTCTAAAAATCGCATGCCAACCTTGCGTTGAAGCAAGTCATAAAATCATGTCATCACTTTGGACAACTTACCTGAACTTACCTTAGAATGAAAGTCATCTTTTCAGAGTTTTTAGGGGACACTTTTGGCTGAAGGGTAGCATCTCACCAATTTCATGGCGCTGCTTAACGGTCAGCAGAACGCCTACGCTCAACCTAAGCGCATTTTGTGGTTAAACACGCTAATGCTTGCACATGCCTGGCGGTTTTACTGATTAATCAAGCAAATTCTATCTCTCAAGTTGGCATGCACTTTGCTGAGCTTACGTTCACTTTCTGTGAAATGCGCTAAGCAGGGTCATGAAATTAGGGCCAGTTCGCTTTTCATGTGACCAAAATGTTGTCTTGTGCTCACTGTCAAATTTTCACTGTAGACATTTTGTTAGTTTCTGTGAATCAGGTACACTGAAAAGACTACAACATAAAGACTGACATCCCGAACACAGTCCGGTGTTCGAATGTTAAAGATTGAATCACTTAAGATCTGAAACGAAAGAGCAACGGATGACGCAAGAAAGTTCCGGGTACTTACCTATTATATTGCAATTTGTGTGGCAGCCTTTTCTTCGCTAATTAGTATGGTTTATCCTTGGGTCGTTTGAGCTGGACCTTAAGGCGTTTGGCGCCCACCTGGAAACCATTCATGGCTTGGATAGAGGCCTGCGCTGAGACAGGGTTGTCATAGCTCACAAAGCCTGGGATAAAAAAAGGACCAGAAAAAAACCCCAAACCAGAAATGATTGGTGAACAGAATAAATGATCTATCGTCCTGTGGCCTTACTGATGATGTAAACAGAACATGATGGGAGCTTGATGTGAAAATGTTTGTACTGGGTACTCTTTACAAATGAAATCATGGGCTCTGTGCACAATAATAATAATAATAATGAAAATTTATATAGCGCCGGTATCCGCCGCTTGCGGCGCTCATGGCGCTGCACTGCACAACAACCAGAAAACAATAAGAATAAAGAACCACCTGGCTGACTCGACCCTCCACCCGTCAAGATGCATCGTCACGCTAACAAGACGGCATCGTCAAGCAAACAGGTAGAACACCAAAGTCAACCAAATGCTTCCCTTTGCAGGTAGGATTTTAAACTGTTCTTGAATGTGCCAAGTGAATTTGAAAGTCTAACAGTTCCAGGTAGGGAATTTCAAAGTCTTGGTGCAGCAGTTTGAAAGCTTCTCTCCCCCCATCGATGATTAGCTATGTTTTCCTTAAGGAGTTTTTTGTTGTGAGGATCGTAAGCCCCGATGCCCCAGGGCATAGAGCTGGACAAGATCGCTTAAAGCACCCCTTCTATGGCAGAAAAGGAGAGTTGGGGGAGACCTAGACTGGTTCCCGGTACACGGTCCATCCACTGCGGACTTTGAATGTATCCAAAGTTATTGGCGGTGGGGATTAGTCTGGGAGACCATCGAAATAGAAATGCGAACGTATTCGCGCCGATGACGTCTGACGTTCACGCGAAGACGCCGTGGCTAACAGCTTTGGCACATTCACGAAGTCGTGCGCACTACCAGTTTTATTACAAGGCTTGCGTATTCATGTATGTGATATAGCATCCTACACCACAGGTACACGTGCATTAGCCTTGTGCCGTTTGTCTCATGGATGTTCATGATGCATGTGTCTGGAAAAAGTCAAGTCTCAATGCGGATAGGGAAAGTGGATTGTTCATTTCAATCGTGATACCACTACAGCTTATTCTACCAACTTTTTAGCCTTTCTGAATCGATTGAATTTTGTGCATTCTGAAACCTGATTTGCCAGGCTTGCCTTGTCTGGTTTAAATTTCTAAATAATTGAACTTCACTCAGTTAGTTGATTTTACATTTGGTAGACAGAAGTTAAATCACCTAAGGGCGAGTTTTGTGAATTTTATCAAGGGGGGGGGGGGGGGAGAGCAGCTCCAGACTATAGATTAAAGAGGGAAATGAACGGAACCAAGAAAAGGATTCTTTGACAAGAGAACTGTGCTCACCAAAACACTTGCTGAGGTTGGTGTTCTTATCAATGAACACCTTGGCACTGATGACGGAGCCAAACGGAGTGAACATCTGCAGCAGGTTGGCGTCTGTGAAATCTTGTGGGAGGTGGTAGATGAACAGGTTGGCGCCCTCCGGGCCTGCTCGCCAAACAGGTGGGAAACAAAGAAAATAAATGAATGGCTGCAAGAAGTTTCATGGATGCACCCTGTGATGTGACTGTCTCTTAACGAGACAGGTACCGTAGTTCTGAGTAAAACCAGACTTGTGACCTCAACATTTCTGTCAGTATGCTGTGCTGTTATGAGAGCATGCTAACTCTTATTATGTTCAGATAAACAAAACATTAACCGGATGGTTACTGAATATTGACCGAATCGTCGAGTTCACATCTCTGATTCTTCTCAGAACCAACTGTCTTGATTTATAGAGATAGTCACTTAACTACAATGTTTCTCCCTAGGTGTACTCTCCATCATGTAAAGCCTGAGATCTCATTCAAATGGACTGGTGTCAGTAGTCAGTACAGTACTAGTGATTCACAATACACAAAAGCTTCTGTTGGAGGCACGAATCCTGCTTTGCCAGAAAGCATTATGGAAAATTCAACATGTTTTTGTAGACATTGGCAAATAGTATTCATTTTGCACAAAGGCAATACAGAATCAACAGTTTCTAGGCTTTCTTTGTAATGTTCATTAGAATGGCAATTTGTTTTATTCACAAGTTTTCCGGATGTATATATGTGCAGCACCGTGGATAATTAATAAAGGAAATATGATTAACTGTTAGGATAATAAATGCAGAAAGACAAAAGGTGAAATGTGGCCACTTGGCAGCAACACAACAATAAGCAAACACAAACATAAGCAGAACCATTACAAAGGTGTTGGGGTCTTGAAAGGGTCCCTCACATAAACTTCTAACTAATCATTACCTTCTTTTTGTTTTGTGTTAAGTGCCTGCTGCTGGTAGTTGGCTCCAAGTCCATTTGAAAATTGTGCTAAATAAAAAAATAAAAACCCCACAAACTTAAAATAATATGTCACGACACGGACATTACCAAGCAAGATACAGTGCAGGTATTCAGAATGTTATTCTCTTTTTGTTCCCCCGGATGTTCTGTTTCCAATGTAGGCTAATCACATTTCATGACAAATTTGGTACAGATCAAAAAGTTGTTTACATGTATTTAGTAGGATCGCTTTTTAAAATTTGAGTTCTAACCGTTTTACCAATATTTCCTTAAGTTCCCAGTGTTTCAACTGTCAAATGTTTCTCTTCACTGCTTAAAAGCTTCTGACTAGAAAATTGAAAATAAAATTAGTGATGATGACGATGCTTTGCTTTTTACAATTTCAGGTAAATGCACGGAGATGTACATGTAGAGTGTGGCATTGCAGGAATCAGCGATTCAAATTTTGCTTTGTCAGCATATACATTTTTTTTAGCCATGTTTGCACAAATGGATACCCAAGTTAATGACACGCACAAAACTGGGTTTGATTAGCAAAACATCATGCACAACTTTAACAAGTTAACATTTTCATATTTTGAAAGGGAGTAACAACAACTTAATATAAAACCCACTTTGGCAGGTGATGAAGTTCTGGCACAACCTCACATAACATTAGAAGGGTGTGCATGACACACTGCAAATGACATTCACAGCACATAGTATAGTGGGTAAGTAGACAAAAAAGGTAGTGGATGTGAGAGAAGTGATCAAAATCGGAGTCGAGTGCCACACTGCTTGTTGGTTCGAATACACAAGGACAGAACAGGCTATTCTTGAGATGGGCTACAAAACAGCTGGTCAACAAGACTAGCATAAGACAATTATAGCCTAAAGAATGGTCAAAGGGCACATGGCACATATGTATGCTCACACATGTATGCTTAGCATAAGCTTAGGGAAAAATGAAAGGGTGGAGAGATTTCAGCTGAATGGCATCACTTTGAGGAATCCCACTTCTGCAACCAAATCCCACTTCTGACACCGAATTTTAGCCAGAGCTTTCCCAATGTGTTTTGTGTTTGTTTGGTCTTTACTCGGAAGTTCTGTACCGAGGGGGACCTTTACCTGCATACTGCTGGATTCCTGAGTAGGCCTGTGTCAGGGCATTTAAGTCCAGTCCAGACGTGCTAGAATTGCCAGCTCCCAGGCCGCCTCCGAAACTGGACCCGGAGCCAAGCCCGTTCATCCCACTCATTCCACTTCCCATGCCCGAACCTTCAGGGTCAAAGGGTAAAGTACTAATGCAATTATGCTGCATTTGGATCCCTGTCTTATGATTATGGGGCAACAAAAATAAAACATTGGCCCTTTGTAGTAATCCACCATTTGTTCCCCTCAATTGATTATCTCCAAGTTTACAAGGAAATTCCAAGATTTTTTGCTTGAGCCTACACTGTGTGCAACGCAAACGAGGCGAAGCACCAGGGAAGTGTAGGATCGGTAGAGTTTCTGAACACCAGCAAAAACCCCAAAATGTGTAGTTTGCTTGAAATGTAGAGAAACAAATACTCTAGATCTCTTCCCACAAAAAGGGGGGATAAATGTAACCCCCAAATAACAAGGTATCCATTGCAATGGTTCTTGGTGTGAAATAGTTCTTGCTGTGAAAGGATCTCGTAGGAAATGTCCAACAAATGATTCAAAATGGCCGTATTATTGCCTTCCTCATTTCAATTCATGAATGTGTTTTTGGAGTGGTTGAGGGGAGAAGTTTTGCAAAAATGGTGATGTCAAGTTTGAAGATAGAGCATGCTAGGTTTGGGCAACAGCCTTGCTGTGAAGTATGGGGGGGAAACACAACAAGGTAAGCCTTTCACACAAAGTGCTTCGCATAATGGACAGAACACACCTCATATGCAAAATATCGTTAGGTGTACAATGCCCATATCACACAATTCACACAGTGCAGTTATGTGGACATTATAATGAAATTTTCAATGTGAATGCCAAATTTACATTGAACACCTGCTAGTGAAACTGGCTTTCCTCTCAATAATTCACATAAGGTAGCTTACAGTTAGCTGTCTAGTAGACTCTGACACATGCATTCACTCATCAAAGATGACGCTCCACAAAAACACAGACATTTTCGTAACAGCAAAAAAACTGCAAACCATTTCAAACACCACTTCAAACTACCTACCCTGGGTGTCCCACATACTGCGTTCTGCCGCTTGGCCAGGGTATGCTCGTAACGGCTTACTGCCTGTTTTTGGATATCAAGTTTAAGGTACATTGTTTTCCCCTGAAATTTGTCTTCCAAGTGCTTTTAAGGTGTTCAATAGTTAGTGATCCATTCAATGAGGGTTAAATACTTGATTTTAATGCATAATATGGTACTCTAAGGGTGTGCATTTATGGGTAGTATGGGAACCCGGTACCCAACTGAAAAAAGAAAAAAAAACCAACAACAAAAACAACCACGGGTACCTGTTAACGAAACCCAACCCCAAAAATCAAATCTTGGAAGTTGCTGTTCAGATTGTTCATAAAGGTCCGCACAACAATACTGCCACATCGGTGCATCGATGCAGCAAGATACAAGTGTATACAGTGAGCTTTATAGCTTTACGGTGTAAACTGCAACTTCCGCGAGCGTCATAAACATGAAATATGTTTTGTTTTCCCATGTAGCCTGGTTTTCATTTCGAAATTCCCCACAAATGACATTTTTCATCTTCATTGTCTTATAAGTAATTTGTAAAGTTGGTTACAGATGCCCGATCCCATAATCTGAAACTGTTTTTTAACATCAACAGTCGGGGACTCGGGTACCTGGTTCCGATGCATAGCCCTATGGTACTCCACAATGATGTAAGCAGTATACATGTATAAACAAAACATTAAAAGGTACTTTGCACGAAACGCAATTATCGACTTCTCCAAAATCATTCACGGTACAAATAAAAAAGATTTGTGTTAAGCATGCATCACAGCTACCAAATAGGTAAAACGACAGTTACATCAGAACAGGCACTGCGTAGCCATTATACCTCCAATAGTTGTGTTGCATGGTTTGTGTGGGAAAGAGTGCATGACAATAGGAACAAAACGTCTGATGTCAATATAAAGTGAAAAAGGTAATCAGGTACTGGACCCAGACTTCACTGCATCCATAATGGCAGTGGTTGATAAGAGGGATCGGGTATGTGTTCTTTGGTTTGAGGGCAAAATGCAGGGAACAATAATGCGTGAGTGTACTCAAGGGCAAGAACTTGAAGTAGGAAATTAAACTACAGTGAGCGTTCATGAAGCTACTAGAAGGCGTGTGGTGCAAATGAAATCCAATATCCAAAAAATGTGAAGGCCATAATGGAAATTGTCGAATGGCGCATTTGTTTTACCCCAAAAATCTTTTGACTTGTGGTTAATACATGCATTTAATAATATTTCAAGTTTATGGAGTTTTTTTGTTTTCTGTCCAAGAAATTCGGATCTCAAAAAGGACAAAATAGGGCAGGAATATCTTGAGACATTATCGGTATATTGGAATGTAATTCTGACAATTTGCATCTTATTTTTCACCGAAGTTGGACATGCGACTTTAGACAGAGAAAGATTCACATTCTCATCACACAGGTCACACATATATGCAGTACCGGTACTCAATGCACAAGAACATACACACACCTAACAAATAAACCACGTTCACTGCTATCAACGCAATCTTACCCAGTGGGCAACAAGAACAGATGTATTGCATAGAGTGAGCACGGGAATAGTACGATGTATCTCATTGAAACCTCACACTGCAACTTGTGTTCTTTGTCCACTGGGTGCAAGATGGCGTCAATAACCATGAACCAGTCTATCACATATATACCTGTCATTCCGCCCAGTCCGAAGCCAGACCCAGATAGGCAGGACCCTGTGTTTCCCATCATAGCTCCTGTGAGAAGAGGGACCATTGTTTGTAAGAGACATGTATCATTGTAAATTTCAAAAGAAAGAAAAAAGGAAATACGGACAACTTTGCAATTACATGCGCTGTGTGCTTACTCAATATGTCGCTGACTAAGGAAATCTTTTTAAGCAGTTTTTAAAAATTTTCGGGACATAAAATTGTCCCAGGGCAAGAACTTCAGCTCAAGAACAGCAATGAGTCTGCAATACTTTTTCCAAATTACGGCACGGTAGGGCAAAACCTCACTACCAAATTTTTTACCACTCATATATCCGAGCGTTTTGGCAAAAATAAGACAGAACTGGGCAAAGGTCGAAATGAGATTTGCAGGTGTTACGATAGAGACTAAGATTCTCCTTACAATACTGTTTGTTGCACTTCAGTTGGACATTCTGTTGACAAGTTATGGCTGTTTAAAGTTCACAATTATCGACATGTCAAAAAACGTAAATACCAAAGATTACCAATACATGTGTCGATAACTCTGAAAATCAAAAAAAAAAAAAAAAAATCACCCCATTAATTTTTTTCCCTTCATTTTTCTCCACTATGGCATGTGCCAAGTTCCCTTTTTTTGCCAGAACGCCTCACATATGTGCAAAATCTCATCAAAAAGTCTCGACCAAGGGTCAGTTTTGTTAGGTGCTAACCATATGCTGGACTGGACTGCATGAACCGCACTGGTGTGCAAACTCACACGTGTGGTAATTACAAAGTTGTCTTGAGATAATTACAAAGTTGTCTTTGGAAACTGAGTCCAGCATAGTGTGTCAAACTGCAGTCACTTACTACTAGGGCTCCGATGGAGAATGGAAATCATGTGCCACATACAAAAAATAACAACTGTATGCTTGCAGAGATTGGAATAATTATCATTGCAAACTGTCAAGATTACTTGTAAATTATAGTTTAAATTTCAATCTTGCAATTTTATCCCACCGATGAGCCCTTACTCCTCAAAAATGGCGATTGAGCTTCATGTTTTGGGATTGATTCTTTTCTACAGAAATATCCTGTAGTATACAAATAATGAATGTTTGTGAGTGCAATGGTAAGAATAGTTTCACCAAGTGACAGATGGACTGTTCCAACGTACGAGGCGAAGCCGAGTGGAATGGAATTTCTATCTGTCAATTTATTCTTACATTCATTATTTGTTTTATACAACATCCGAATAAATCCTTGTCATCTGATTGGTCAGAACTGCCAAAAGTGTGACTGTGCAATGGAAGTTCCATTTACCGTGTGATGGAACTTCTGTTTCTGCCATGCGCCCACTGTGCACTGGGACGAATAATTCAATGACACATGATCAACGACCCACCAATCAGATGACAGGGATTTAGTCAGGCGTTGTATAAATATTTCTGATCAACCGTAGCACTGGACAGCTCCTGAATATCCACAGATAGTTGTTACGTCTATGAAAACGACACTGATTTAATGGGCTGGTGTGATCACACCGCAGTGACCATATGGTCCTGATCAACATCACGGCAATAGGTGCAGTGGGAGTGAAAAAGGTGCCAAAATCTTCGGATAGGTTTAATGGAAAACGGTGGGATACATGATTATATGAATCTAACCGACAACGATAGCTGCCAAGATAATTCTCTGAATGAGAATCGCGTGTGAAAATGAACACTCCGCCAAATTACCTCCCTACCTTTTTAAAATGTAATCTTGAGCGTAGACCATTCTGAGAATATCATTGCACACTACAACGGAGGCCCCTTTTAATGGCGAAAGTACTGTGCCAGCTATTGGTCAGATACTCCATTGCTTTGTACAATAGCTAGCACAATGCTTTCGCCATTGAAGGGGGCCTCCTTACATGTACAGTAACAGCGTGCTCGGAGTGGCCTATACATTATAATTGCTTCTAATATACATTTGTGAAAACAAATTTCCAGAATTTTATCTTGTCTGAACGCAAGTGAAGTAAAGATTATCAATACAGTTTATAGACACAGGTACATTGCACTGATGAAATTAAAATGTTGGCTTTGTTAATGAATTCATATTTCTCTTGAAAAGAAAAAGCATGAGATTTTGGTTGGCCTAGGATCACAAACAGTCAAACACCAGTTTTCCCACAAGTACAACATACATGTACACCATGACTTAACAAATTAAACGATGCAATTCAACAACATCCACCCACTTTGTACAAGATGCCAAGCATTTCGGACAAAGGGAACAAATTCCATGGAGCAATTTGTTAAGCACAAATCTCAATTTCCATAGCACAGGTATGTGTCAATGTGTGATACCTCAAGTGGACCAAACTACGGATATGATTGGATATGCAAGGTTCAAACTTTTTTATTTCGTAAGCGCCGGATTCTTTCAGTGATAGAGTGAAGCCATGTCTGAAACAGGCTTCCAGGGCTACGGCTATTGCCAGCTTGTTCCCATGACGTTGTAATGGGTGTAATGTAGACAACAGTCACAGCCTAAGACCTCTGCATTGGAAAATCACATTAAGTTTCATTTACTTCTGTGTAAAACATAATGCACAAACATTTAGAAGGTTTGTTGAAGTTTGCAAAGTTTGGCCAAACATATAAATGCCACGTCAGGGCGGGTTCACTGATGGTGCAAAAGCAAATGCGTAAGTGGAAATCTGACATGAAGCAACATGACAAACTTTTGCAAAATACAATGTGAATAAATGATGTGATTTTGCAAAATTGCATTTGTGTTTGCCTTCATGCTGAGTGTGCACCAACCTACATGTAGCTGGAAAGAATTGCAATTTTGTTTGGTTTAACTTTACAGAAAGCTCCATGGAATAGGTTTACTGAAAATCACTTCAGCCACACAACAGTCAACAGATGCACCAAACACAAAAGAGTGCTACATGGCAGCTTAAAGTCTGTGTATATTCAACTAATCTAATTGAAAAAAACCCAAAAAACTTTTATTTCATATGCTACACAAGGTTGTTAACATTGAGATTATTTTTACGGACTGCCACGACCTCCCCCCCCCCCCCCCCCAAAAAGTTACGATATCCTGTATAACACTATTTACTTCAAGGAAAGTATGTTAATCAAGAAATTTGCAAGCAAAACTGGAGCCCACAAAAATAGGAAAATGTTTATTAAAGAACTGACGTTGGTTTTGAGATTTGTTTTATCTGCCAGCTGTACGGTACATGTGACAGATTTTTGATTCAAATTTGAGCACTTCTGTAACATAAACAACAAAAGCAGTAAAGACTTGTCTACTGTACCTTATAAATAAGCCAATCAAATGACACACAAGAAAGCAGACAAAACACATTCACAATGTGCACTCCACAACTTGTTAGTTTTAGGACCATACATGGATTAATACGCTCAACAAAAAATCACAACAACATCACCTTCTGCCAACAGTGAAAAACATTTACTGTATAAACTCATCACAGTTTGTGTATCATAAGAGCACATGGGATTGGGAGTCATGTTTACCAGTGATGTGCTGGCACCAGTATGTCTCACAACCATAGAGCTATATTAAATTACTAGAGTGCTAACTCCTCATTCCCCCGCGGAGATACTTTAAAGCCGCCCTGAGTGCAGGCATTTTGAATTCATGTGCGTGTTTGTAGAACATAATGAAATTACATGGAATGAATTTTGAATAATGTACTCTACATGCAACGCGCAAGCACAACATAAGCGAACAACGTAAGCGCGTTTTCTACGAGTGTTATGACAGCAAATATCAGCAAATAACAATCCAGTTCGTTAGTGTGACATCATCTCAACTGAACTTTGCGTACTTCACACGGTGTAGCATAGCACGAATGGAACCGGAAGTTCACGCAACTTTAATGTTTAGCCAATGGGCGCTAGTAATAAATGGTGCGCGCGCGTGTATGACAAAGTCACTACCGATCCAGATTACCCTGTGCTCTCATGATGCATCACAGCAACTTTCTTGTCAGACAGAACGTGACAAAACTTCAATTTAATAAAAAAAAAATACAATACATGAACACGTGACAATCAAACAATGTTAAAATGAATGAACAAAAAAAATGAAGGTACACAGCGAACATGTTTCCACGGCAATTGAAAAAAAAGAAATACCATGACCAAACCTACGTTTCTGAGGTTCGTGAAGAAGAGCAGTACGAGCAGTGACAGCAGTATGGGAGGGGTACAACCCTAAAAAATGCAAATGAACGCAAATGACATGCAAATGAGTGCAAAATGACATGCAAATCGGCATGGTCTGGGCGTCACAGCATAATTAGGTAAAAGGGAGAGGAACTGAAAAAGAAATGAATGTTAAAATAAAAAAAATAAAAACATTTTAGAGCCTTTCATACTGAATACCAAAAGAAAGATTGAGATGACGCAAGAAATAAGGAATGAAGATCAGGGAAAAAGTTGATTCCCTGAAAGAAAAAAATTACATAAATAAAAACCTGAAAACTGGAAAGTGAACGGAAGATGATCTCCATACATTTACAGAACATTATCTTCTGTACATTGAATTTTATGATATTGGTACCAATTTGTTTAAAATTAAAAAAAATTAAAACCATGGCTTGTTATAAATGGGTCAAAATAAAGCACTGAAATATATTTCACAGAATCCAAAGGAAAAACAAAACAGACACCCAGGGCCAAAGCAAAGAGAAGTTACTTAACACTAGATGTGAGCCCAAAAGAGCCAACACTACCATGAAAATTGCAAGCACCAACCATCCAAATCAACACCATTATGCATGCAAATCATTCAGCAATATTCACACAAGTCATGCATAAAACATGAGGTCAAAGTTCAACGAATGACTGATTAGAATGGCAACCTTTAAGTGCTTGTAGGCCCAAAAGTCCAGACAGATTGCTAGAGTTTGCCGCGCTCGATCCACCGCCTGTAAAATGGGTTGGGTTTGGAGAAAAACGTTTTATCGGTATGGGCAGGAGTTTTGCAATAATGTGTTAACCAAACATTTTTTTTTAGATCTTACAGTAAATGGCAGTGTTCAAATAAATGGGGGAAAACTGCTGTAGTTTTTTTGTTCACATCACAAAATTTGGAGAGAATAAAATTATTTTCATCCATGAATAGTATTACTATTAGTTGAGACCAAATAATGAAATGTATTCCTTGTATGCAGATTTTTTTTAAACTGTTTTTTCTTTCAAAAAGAAGGTTCTGATGAAATTCCAGAACTACAGGATGCAGCTAGAAAATGCCAATTATATTGCACTGATGACATGATTTGATGCAGTTTTCCTGTAGTTGCCATGATGGAGAAATGCTCAAGCAATGTTGCAAATTTTGCCAGTCCTTTCTAAAAGTAATACTTGTATTTTTTTTTAAACAATTCACAATCAAAACTTGTAAATTGTTTTTTAAAAGAACCCTATTTCATTTTATTAAACATGACTTGATTGCTTAGGAACTTCCTTTGTTTCCATACCAGAAAGGCCTAAAAATGTACACTAAACATTATGTGGATAAGTACATGTACAAGAAATGACTATAAAGCAATACGGTATTAGAAAAATGAAATGAATGAGTACAGAGAACTAGTAGGAAAACAAGAAATGAGATTTAGAAGAAAAGTGCAAGAAAAAAAGAAGACAAATGAACTACATGTAATTAACATTATCTGGCATAGGTTTGATGTACATGTACAATTAATTGGTATGGTTAAAAATGAAGTGCAGGTGAGACAAGAGTGCAATGACTGTGCCCTGGCCTCTAAGAACTGTTAACATTTGCTTATGCACAAATATATAAATAAATAAATACATAAATAAATAAATAAATGGAAAGGTCCCTAGGATTTTAACTGTTCAAGGTTTTTTTTATGGGAGAGATTCAACAATTAAAGACATCACATAAGGGTTGGAAGGAAATACTACTGAGATCCAACTTAAAAAAAATAAAATGACCAGTTTGGTTTGGATCTATTCCCTAAAATTAATGAAACAAATTTTACAGACTTGCAAAAAAAAAAAAAAAACCAACAACACAATAAAACAATCCCAGAAAAACAAAATAATAAACTTGACAGAAGATGGGACACCTATTGTAGGACAATTAACTCAACTGATTCCAGAGGTTTTCTTACAATTCTGAAAAATTTGGGAAGAAAGAATCCTTTAAAAAAAAAATTAAAAGATTGACAGTGCCGGGCAAGAAACATAATGTGGGGGAGATTCACAAACAAATGTAGGAGAGAAGACTTCAGGACATTAAAGGGCTTAAACCGAAAGACAAAAAATTAAAGAGAGACACGGGCAGGAACAACTGAAACAAAAACAAACTACCCAGACATACAAAAAAAAATGTTAACCACAATAGACGAAACATGACCAAAAAGAGAGAAAGTATGACAGAGAGTGGACTGAACAACTAGACAGAGACAGAGACTGACAGACAAACTAACAGAGCAGCCTTAACGACATACATGTATCAAGGCTTTTACAAGAAATGAGAGAGTTGCTCAGCAGCAAAATAACTGCTTTGTAATCTGCTGAGTCAAATTTGACTAATGAACAGTCTTAATGCAGTGTGTATGCATGAGTACGTCTTATGATGTTTTCGATGGCAAATTACTTTTGCCACACGAAAACGCACAAGCTCTATGAATGTTTAAGGACAGATAGACCAACCACTCAACCAGACAATAAACACACACACAGACAATGATCTTTGTAAGCACCAGCAATCATGGACCCCTTATTGTCCCTAATCCTCATTCCTTTGTCTGCCAGGACCCTTTTGTCCTTAGTCCATGACTGCAGGTGTTTACACACTCACACACACAGAACAGGCAACAGAACAAAAGGTCTAATTACATGTACATACCAATGACACCTATATTAGGACAAACAACTGGACAAAACAAGAGTGACAAAATGACTTTTTTTTTAACAAGGGAAAAAAACCGCAAATTTGTATCTATCATAGCATAGCTGTTGAGGCAAAATATGATTCCTGAATTGCAAACATGTACTGATCAGTAGGTGCCAACTGATGGTTTTTGCTGACATTTCTTGCACAGTGCTAGCATTCAAAAGGAATGTGATTTTCCAACTACTCTCTTCAAGTTATTTTCCCCCAAAATGGGGAAGTAACCTTTTTTTGCCTTCACAGCTAAAGAGTGACAGATGGTCGAATGCGAAAGCAGCTTCTCCATATGCATGTTTTCAGCCTTTAAGCCTACAGTTTAGTATATGCCTCGGTACGCAAGCAGAGGACAACCAAATTGGATTTAAAACATGCATATAGAGAGGTGGCTTCAGACTGACTACCTACAGACAAACAGAAGGGCAGACAGGACGACAAACCTTAAAAATAAAACCTGAAACACAGACCACCACATGGACAAATACACCACCAACAATCCTGATGTAAAAAAAACCACTTCAATTCTCTTAGAAACCACTCTTTGTGGCATCACCATTGAAGAAAGGACATCCAATTTTATTTTTAGACAAACCAAAGTGAGCAACTTTGGGCAACTTTGAAACTCTCGTGTTCAGGGGATTACTGTTGCTCATGCCTTGAAAAAAAAAAGGTGCTTGTCAATTGGTTCATACTGGCACAATATGTGGATATTTCCCTGGAACATTTTCAATTTATTAAAACAAAATTACAGATTCTCATTATTTCTGGACACATTGGCCCACGGCATTTGAATTTTTCTGAAATATTCTTAATACTTGCTGAGAAAATAAAGCACTTTTTTTTACAACAACTTAGCAACTGACGGTTTACTTGAATTTCCGTTTTGTCATTTTTTTTTCAATACCCCAAAGTATATTATGAAAACAGAGAGAGTCCAAATCTATGCAACATGGAGTATGTATTAGGGCGTACAGGTTTAATGCTGAGATAGGGTACCAGAGCAAACACACCAGGCACCAGTCTTTCAACCAATTAAGGAAAAATATGATGTATTTATTTATGGTTTTTTATGGTTTTTTTTTTTTTTTTTTAAAGATGTTAACCTTGGGCTCCAGACTGTATCCCACCGGCCATAAAACCGGGGCCACTGCCGCTAGCGCCTTGGTTGCCAAAGGCGCCATTATCACTCTGGTTGTTGCCATAGGAATCATTGCCGCTCTGGTTGCCATAGGAACCAGCTCCTCCTTGGTTGCCAAAGGAACTGTTACCTGAGCGGTTGCTGGCGCCGGAGCTACCAGCACCTGAAACAAAAACAAAAACAAACAGAGAGACATGCACAACAAACACGAAGAAGAGAAACAGGGGTGAAAAAAAAAAACAGAGGTTGACGCAAATCAGGATTTCTCCTCTATTTTTTCTCTGGATAAAGAAAGGAGAAGAGTTGGCAGGACTCCGGATTGCAATAATATTTTTAAAGCCTTGAAACATGGTTGGGCAATTTAGCTAATGCCACTTCAAAATTGCAAGCCCACTTAAGCGCACAAAGGAATATAATTGCTTCTGCCTTTACGGCAATTGATTCAAGAGGCTACGAACATCATCAGAATTATTTTTTTTGTCCTAGTGTGCGGAAGAAAGGCTAGGACTACGAGGGGTTTGTTTTGGCCTCGTCTTAAATTTCAAGATAAAATCTTTGCCACTGTCGACCTCTGCTTTTTTAATAATCTGCAAACAAGAACATTAGTGTAAGTCGTCAAGCTGCCCTGTACACTCAAAACAATTGACGACAAAATACATAAATACATGTGACATGTTTTCAGTAGCTCTTTTGCCACACGTAACAGCATAGTTATGCACATTTAAACATAAAAAAGCTGAACACAGAATGTTTTCGTGAACGTTTATCCACAGCTCGTAATGAGAAGAAACACTTCAAAACCACTTACAGTTTGTAAGTAAGTACCCAAACATCACACGAAAAAATCTAGAAAACTTAGGACCCTTTTTCAAACCAAATAGAATTGCAAAGACAGCACAAACACACACATCATCTGTGCAGCAAGGTACTCCCTACACTGGAGTGTGCCATTGTAAATTGTTTCTTAGAATTGCAGGTAAGAAGGCCGTGCCCAACTTTAGGGCCAGAAGATATAAATGTGACGTGCTGAAGATCGGGGGTACAAAAAAATCATGTGCATCTGTGAGTGTGTGTTTTGGTTTGTGTTGGTGCATATTACTAAAAACGAAACAAAAAAACATCCCCCAAAAAGTTTGTCCGTAGATACTTTGTTTCCCGGTACCTACCCACATATTGCCAAGCCAGATTGCCTGTCCCTCATTTTTGCTTTTTAAAAACACCAAGCCAATGAGTTTGTCTAGTCTTGTGCCAAAAGGATTCAGACTCCAGTCCAAATTCATTTGCAACTATTTCATGCATTTCTGCATTACCTGCAAATCACTCATCCTCCTACTTACTTGAAGTACTCGGCTTCAAGTTCCATCTTTCACATGTATATTTCAGTTTTCTGGAGGACCTCCGAAAGAGACTTGACATTACTGGCATATTGTATTACATCGGGAGGCAGGGAATGACACGAAGAACGTTAGCATTTGAGTTGTCATTTTTGCAGCGGACGGTAATGTTACATGCCACGCGTGCACCTGTCCGTCCATGAATGTTTTAGACAGGTTCGTTCAATGTATGTCGATTTTGTTCACACTTATTTTCTGAAATAATTTTGCATTGTGCGTTTGAAGTATTTTCACATGACTACATGTAACTGATGGTATACATACATGTTTTTTTTTGGCCAACTTATGATTACAACACTGAAATATGCATTTTTCCATGAACAGCAAAATAAAGTGCATCCGCAGTACATGATAATACGCATGAAAAAGCTGTTCATGCAGGTTTTGGCATCTACAGTAGCTGTCTGGAATGCTGTTAAAATGCCACGACTCTAAAGATTAAACATTATTTTCTGGATGCTGAACATCATGCATTAGAACTGCATTTCTGAATTTCGATTTTGTAATAATAGTTACCCTACCATTTGTCTACAGCAAATTGCACCTGAATTTGAACTTGAACACAGAAAACGGATAATATGAACACCGACAACAACATTTATCAGTTGTAACACAAAAACAATGTAGGAATAACAGCTGCACGTTTATTTTTGTAGTTACATGTACATGTACACAACAATGTCTTAGGGAAGACACAAAATTTTGGGACATACCGGTACATGTACCCCAGAAAAAAAAGGACAGAGAAGAGGGGAAAAGGCTGATGGAAAAATATTGATTCCAAAAAAAAAAATAATAATAAATAAATAAATAAATAAATAAATATAATAAAAAAATATAAATAATAAAACACCACCACAGATATAATCCCAATGAAGGCACATAAATGTTGATCCCATATTAATCCACACTCCACCATGGTGTACAGCAATAATAGCAATTGGAAGGTTAAAACTGGTAACCGGAGAGCTACTGAATCAAAACTCACTCTTGTACAGGGTACCGCCTGCCAATGAATGCTCTGATTGGTCCTTGTATGAATACAATGGTTCTTCCAAAAGACCCTGATTGACTGAAGAATACAAATTATGCAAATGAGGAACTTCCAAGAAGAAAAAAAAAAAGAGACAAAGGTATGGACTCCGTGCACAGGTAATTCCACGACGGTGAAAATGACAAAAGAGCAGCATTACTTAAGGAAATTGTAATAAGCGCCGCTGCTATGCACCTACATGTATGCTCAGGTGGAATCCTCTTATACACACACGCGAGTCGCACATTGCTGTTGAAAGTTGGTTGTGGGTGCCTCCGCAAAATGCAGTGAACGTGCATGTACGCAAAACCAATGTACATCTACATGTACAGCATTTTACATTTTTATATGTAAGTCCTTCGATGGATCTAAAGAATAGTCTACAGCGCCCCCTACAGTTCCCGCACGGAGTCCAAAACACATTTCGTCCACACATTAAAAACCCTCCTTTTGTTTGATCAGTCACAGACAGTCAAGAAATCGTTCCACTTCCCCTGCCATGCCTTTTAGGCAGGCTAGTCACCAACTGTCAGATTATATTTCTATACGCACAGTGACTAGTCGTATTCCATCCAACAGACAAAAGCAGGTGACTGGTAGGCACAGCTGGCTTATCAATCTCCTACGGCCAAAGCATAGCTGTATCAAGTTTCATAACTCTCACAGCCCGTCAATGCTGCTTTATGTGAGAAGGGAGCACTCAACTGTTAAAAACAGTCACCTGATTTTGACTGCTGAGTTGGCTTTGCTGAATTTGCCAGCCAGAGAAGGAAGGTTTTGCATTTATGAGATAGTGATGTTCTGCAGTGCCAGAAACCAATTTAGTTCCTCAACTAGAAAAACATTTATCAATGGGTCTAACTTGGACAAGATTTGACATTTTTTATTAATTGGGCAAAAATTTAGAGAGGTGTTTGCATTGGCCAAAATGACAAACATAAAACAGACCACAACATAACACTACAACAGCCTTTTCCCCTTTCTCTTTCCAACAAGGATCAACAGCGAAAGTTTGGAAAACACTCAGAAATGTCCCGGAATGAATAGTCGGACAACAAAAACATTAAAGGATTGTGAGAATCCACAAAACAAATACCAGAGGGAAAAAAAACATGAAGTTTTGGGGAATTTTTGAAAACAAATGATTTAGTAAAAAAGAGACAAATAAAAAGGTTAAACATGAAAATGACAAGGTGGAAGACAACATTTGCATGCATGCACCTTTACGTTTTGAAGAAATAAAGGCGACATACTTTTCAGAAACGAGCAAGGACATGGAGAAAAGGTCTATCAATTGTTTTAAGGGAGCATTCACAACAAAGATACATGTACATGTAACAACACAAACCAAAAAAACACATAATTACACCGTTGCCAGGAACAACATGTACGACCAACCCTTTTACCCCTGTAAGCCGAAAAAGCATTTGGATTTAGTGGTTTGTTTCTATTGGCTTCAGAGGATTAAAAAGAACAAAAAAATGATGTATCAAAAGGCCAGCCAATGAAATGAACATAAACGTGAGCGACGCATTCAGAGAAAATTGAATAGCTTACATTTTGGTTTGCAAATGCCAAGGTCAAATACAAAAATATGTCCCACTGGAATCTCATGTCACTTTGGAAAGAATTTATTAAAAAATGTTGAGGAAAAATTTGGAGAGCAAAAGATATCAGCTTCTAGCAAGACCTGTATACAACGCCGCACTAGTTCACTTATTTTGGACAACCGCCTTTATGTCTTTCTCACAATTTCTATCAAAAAAGGCACCATTCCAAGTGGACTCGATCAACTAAAATTACCGTTTTGGTTTTGAGGAAAGGGTCACAGTGTACATGTATAGGTTTAGAAATTTGAAGCATTTATCTGAAACAGTGTTCATGTTTAATGCAAATTTTGGTCCATAGTCCGTAGACAAAGTGCACTGCCGAATCAATGTATTTGCATGGAGCCAAGTCATGTAACATTGTGCTGGCTATTGTACACCGATTTTCCCCATGATGGCTACCATAATGGTTCAGCCATTAATGGGGGCCGCCCGGATACTTAATGTTGTACGATGCCGGGTGATTCTGTTGATTGATTTGTCTACACTCTGCTCCTCATGGTTGAAGTCTAGTAGATGGAACTCGCAATTGCATATTGTTTTATTTGTGGGTGTCAGTTGTCAATTTGTTTTTTCTCATCACTTGTCACTCACCTGCATTGCCCATTCCCTGTAATGACTGGTTGGCAGCTGCGGCTGCTGCAGCTGCTGCTGCTGCTGCAGCGACATTGGCCCCTGTGGTACATGTATTCTGGCTTGCCATGGCTGCAATGGAAAAAAAAAGAAGGAACTTAGCTCTCTTCAAATAAATAGCGGCAGTCTGTGGCGACGCCATGTGGCATCATTTTGTGCGTGTTCTAATGTGTGTTCTGAGGAGAATCTGTGAAAACTTCCATTTATCAGGTTTGGTTTGACACAGCCTTCTTTTTCTCAGATCAAAGGTATTTTTCAAGCATTTTAGAGACTTTTACACAGCAACTTGAAACTTCGAGGTACTGACTTTACTTGGGAGGAATACGCAAGGTTTGCTTGCAAAAACATCTTACCAAAAAGGAAAAGGGGATAGGGGCAGGGACAGGGGGTGGGGAGTAGGGGCAGGGGTTGGGGAGTAGGGGCAGGGGTTGGAGTAAGGGCAGGGGATGGGGGCAGGGGTGGGGGATAGCGGCAGGGGTGGGGGGAGTAGGGGCAGGGGGTGGAGGAGTAGGGACAGGGGGTGGGGAGTAGGGGAAGGGGTTGGAAGGGGGCAGGGGATAGGGGCAGGGGTGGGGTGGGGACAGGGGAGTAGGGGCAGGGGGTGAGGGAGTAGGGGCAGGGGGTGAGGGGCAAGGGTGGTGGATAGGCGCAGAATCCTTCTTTAGCTAAATGTCTACAGACTGTATTCCTTTCCTTTCATGGGTTCCTATGGCCTTGTGGGTGGTAAGTTTCATAGACCTGGTACAGACAGATGAAAGGCAGAATGCTTCTCACTTACATGCTAGCTGTTGCATGCCGCTGAGTGCTCCAAAGTTACCGGTCTGGGATGCATGTTGCATAAGGTTCACCAACATCTGCAAACCACAACAAAAAAAACATCAAGAGGGATGCATTAAATAACAAAAAAGTCATTCTGAGAGTTGAGTTGGTTATGGACCTGTCATCTCTAAAAATACATTGAAGAAATTGAAAGGAATTTTGCTTTACATAAACTCATCAAGACCTCCGAGGGCATGGGAATCAAGTGATAAACCTTGTGGTGTATGCATATCATATTCAATATGGTCAAAACTGCTGTTGTGCATTCCTGGGGCACATATTTCATGGAACTGGGTTCTGGGGACTGGGGACCATGTGGCAGAGTTGGCTAATGTGCAGTTTATGTATTCATAGGTTGAACAGCCATGAGACTTACACCGCGTTCCCACTTGAATTTGGAAAAGGTGGATCACGATCCGGCATTTTGGTGTGATCGTTATCTTACCGCAACGAAACCGCAAGTCGCGTTCCCACTTATGCTTGATCCACCTTTTCAAACGGAAATGTTGAGTCCGAAAGGTCACTGAGTTCGGAATTACGCGCGCTCTGTGGAGTGCCAGTAGTGTTGCATGCTAGGCCAGGATGGGTCCGTTTTTAACAGCGCTATGAATTCACCGACAAAAATTACGCGAATTCACCGACATAAATCACGGATAGAGGATCCGTACGTGCATAAATTAACTGGTGAAATCGAACAGCGCCGCTCATTGTGTGACATCACGGCAGAAACCAATGCATCGATAAGGGATTCCCTGGTTCTGAAGGTTCTCATTGGTTAAAAATGGTCACATGATGTACTACGACATCTTTTCCAATTTTCTATAATCAATACTACAGATTTGTCACCTCCAGACGCACCGCGTTATCGGCACTATTCTCATTGCGTATTCGTAAGCTTTTCCATGATTCTGTGCCAAATTGAAGTGTTTTGGTGAGTGCGGACTCAGAGTCATTTATGGATGGAAAAATAAGTAAAATTTCTCGAAAAAAAAAAGGTTTAGAAATGGAAGAATACGCAACGAAAATTGTAAAAGGCCTAGTATAGTTTCAGGATATACCACGTGCATGCGCGGTGCTAGCCCGTAGTTCAGCGGTTGTTTATTGTGCACGTTGTGTACGTTGAAAATTTCACATGAGCTACATGCCTGAAAGCGTGTTTCTTCGTTCTTAAGACCGCAACATTTTCGCGCCACTCGTGCACCGTGCGGATGTTGACAGGTCAAATTGCCGGATCAGATCCACCTTTTGCGTTCCCATCTGCCGTGATCCGCCAATTGCCGGATCTGATCCACCAATTGGGGGATCTGTATCCTGGTCCAGAGGTGGATCAGAAAAGGTGGATCTGATCCTGATCCACCTTATAACGGTTAGCGTTCCCACTACACACAATTGCCGGATCTGATCCACCAATTGGGGGATCTGATCCGGCAATTTGGCAAAAGGTGGATCAGATCCCCCAATTGGTGGATCAAGTGGGAACGGGGTCATAATGACATCATTCTTTGTTTACACGTACAAGTAAGTTTTTGCAAGGGAGCCAGGGCCCAATTTCACGGCGCTGCTAAGCACACAATTTTCTGCTAACAGAGCCTCCGTCTATTTCATGGAGACCGTAAGCATAAGCACAGCAAAAGGCACGCTTACTTCAGAGGAAAAATTAGCTTAACTTAGTGACGTAACAATAGAAATCTCCACGCACGCACGACTGACTGTGAAATAGTGCTAAGGGTTAGCAAATTTTTCTGCTATGCTACTTGTAAGCACACCTTTTCTGTAAACTGTTAAGCAGCGCCGTGAAATTGGGCTCAGGTGGGTATGACATCTCATACCCACGTAGCTTCTGTAGTTAAGCACACGAAAGCACGACGTCATTAACTCTAATGGCCATTCCACAATAACAATGATTTAGATTGTTCCATGGATGCTTACAAGCCCGCTGACCAGAGTTAATAGCATTACCCTATGTACTTTCAGGCAAAACTTTCCGTTATTATAGTGACAGGATAAAATTATGTCATCATGCTTAAATTTCAGTTACATGTACAATGTGTATCAGTATAAAAGCAGTTTCTTTGCTTTTTTCCAGAGTGGCCAAAATTAAAAAAAAGAGTAGCATAAATTCATATTACATGTATACAGGGTGTTTCAAAAACAAGGTAATCCAAAAATAATGGGTTAACATGTAAAAGTTATGAACTTGACCAATGTCCAAGTGGTTCCATCTTAAAGGGTAGTGCATACAATTTTCATTGATATGTAATTTGCATATCTTCAGTCATGGATGACCGAACTCCACTGATTTCAAAACACAGGCCAACAACCCCTGTTTCCAAGTTTGCTGAATAAGTGGAGAGTTAGGCTGTCGAATGAATGCGCTTTCGCTGTGGACAGTGCGTTAAAAGGGGGTATGTTAGAGATTTTGTTGCTTACAATGGTACATAATGTTGTCCATGACAATTGTTTATCATCATAAGGCCAAACACCTACCTTTTCCAAGTTTGCCTGATTCAGTGGTGAATTGAGCTGTTGATTGGGGGCGGAAGAGGAAAAATGTGGAATATAAATGAAGTGTAAATGGAATATCATGTTTCATGATTACATCAATTATTTCAAAGGTTTTTCTTTTGTTTACTCATTACAATAATTACTACCTAATGTAAAAATGTTGCCTAAACATAGCTTGGGGGTTGACCCAACTTGGCATGGCTTTAGCTATGCCCATTGCAAGCTGTTTAAAAGATTTTTGAAATTGGATTGCTAGTTTGTGATGAAACACTTCTTTTTTTTTGAATGATTAATTATTTATGGACAACATGATGTTCCATTTTAAGCAACAACATCTCTAACATACCCCCCCCCCCCCTTCTTTAACGCACTGTACACAGCGACAGCGCATTAATCGGACAGCTTAATTCGGCACTTATTCAGCAAACTTGCAACAGGGGTTTGTCGGCCTTTGTTTTGAAATCAATGGTGCTCGGTCTTCCATGACTGAAGAGATGCAAATGAGGCACCAAGGAAAACCTAATGAACTACCCTTTAAGATGGAGCCACTTTGACAGTGTTCAAGTTCATAACTTTTACAAATTAACCCATGATTTTTGGATTACCCTGTTTTATTATACACTCTGTATAAGATATAATTACATGTACATGTTTGCCAGTCCATGGTAGCGACAGAAACATTTGTCAGCTCTATCCCCCGTTCTTAAAATGGAATCATCCAGCAATCCCCTCTCATGCCTTAAGTGTCCTGAATATTCAGAAAGGTGACAGCCACACTAATAACCCCCCCTGGAGACAAGTTAGCCTGTCCAATCACACCAAACATATGCAAATTGATATCAACGGCATCAGAACCCCCCCCCCCCCCTTTTCCCCTGTAGACAGAGACAGAGAAATAACAGCCCGGTGTACAGTGACCAGTGGTAGCCAAGAGGGAAACGTTGGCTTAGGTTACCACCTTTGAGAGCCGTGGAGTGTTGTGTGCAATGGGAGAGGAGTTTGATGTTCACATTAAGCATTGTTGACCTTCTGCTAGGGGTGGTTGGTGGTTCATTCCATTCATTGGCCAGTTGGTAACCACTCCAGCCCCTCTTCAGAATGCTATTAGAACAGGAAAACTCAACCTGTTTTCAAGGTTTTTTTCTTTTAATTGGAAGCAATCTGTTAATGACTCTTTTTGACTCGTCAGAGTCAAATTTGATAGTCAGCAGACGGCTATCAGGAGGACTCCAGGAGGACTCCATGAAGATGTGAGGAAGCTAAGACTCGTTGCTAGGCAACTTGTGAAGAATTTCTCTGACCCGGTATTTCCAAAGTAAACCGAGATGAGCTTCTAAACTTTCCTGTATTTCCACCCGGTTCCTTTAAGGGATGAAAATCCTTAATGTTTATGTGCATGCCAACTACATGTCTCAAAATTGCTAAACAGGGTCTGAGAGTACAGTGATTTACACACATGTGCATGGGCTTAATTTTTGAGGTTTGCAGTGCCCAGCTGATAGAAGAAGTCTGAGCAATTAGCCACAATTTTTTACAAATAAGCCAGTTCGTTATTTCAACTGCCCATGCGCACAATGTTATGGGTCACAGGTTATTTGGGATAATCGAACGCTCGTCGAAGGCGCATGAACGCGCAGGGAGACGGGCGCAGTATTTGGTTTTGTAGGGTAATTGTTAAATAGTTTGTTGCGAAAACAAGTCAATGGCACGGTCGCTTGCAAGACTGATGAAGACAATGAAAAAAAGTACATTTTGTTTCTAAAGGCTGGAGGAATATGTCGCCACAGAATATAGGCAGAGACTAAAAACCCAATTCACATGTGGGCATGGGTGGGATTCGATCCTGGGCTACGGAGGTGAAAGGTAAGATGCAACTCCACTAGTAATCTGATATTCACTTCGAAATGGTACATGAACATATATATTCATTCAGAATACACTAGACTCCTTCGATGATTATAGATCATAGCTTAGGGCAGTGCGTCTAAACTGAAGCTATTCATAAAAACAATTTGTGTATAACAGCCATAATTCAACACATTCTGTTGTATAAACTGGTACTTGTGTAGTTTTAAGAGGTACTGTCCAGGCGATTATTGAAAAAAAAAATTTTGATTTTTAAATCTAGAAATACAAAGATTATTCACTTTTGTATAAGAATATGAACAAAACAATCCACCCACGTTTAGATATGGAGTAATTACTCTACAAATTTGAAATTAAATGTTTTTGCTGCCAGAAAATAATTTTGTGCTAGCGGCACGGACTACATGTAGTCCCCCCCCCCCTCCTGTAATGTACATCTGTTGGTGGGAACCAACCAATTTTTTTATTACCATAAAGCACTCAAAGGTGAAAGTGAGCCATGGACATAACATCAGGTTCCACCTTAATTTTTTTGTTCACTAGCCAGCTGGGCTACTGAAACAGACTCTTAACTAGCCCAAGGGGGCATTTTCACCAGCTCGCATTGTTTTTTTAGCTCAAATACAAAATGCCGTATTTTCAGGCTCAATTCAGAGGCAATTTTGTCAGTGTTTTAAATAAACAGATCTAATTTAACCCTTTAAAACAGTTGATAAAATTATACACAAATTGATGAGGTTTGCTTTCTGAATTTAATGATGTATTTTTTCCTGTCCTTTCATCTTTGCCGCAGCCCAATAATTTGTTGACTCGCCAGCCGGGCTACTTGAGGAATAGTTTGACTAGCCCGCCGCTGTTTTGACTAGCATTTGGCTAGCGGGCTACCGCTAATTTCGAACCCTGCATAACATGTACTTCTTTGAAGTATTAGTGATGATGAATTTTGTGATAGAGATGTGCCTGTGTATGAATGTCGTATCGCATGCACTTTATTTACAATGATCTCTTGCCGCTACACTCAATTAAGCTCTCTCCAAGTACACACGCTACTGCACACATCACGTCGTTATTCACTTTGGCAGGGGGAAGACGGCAATTAATTATTCCTCGAGTCTTGCCTCCTACTATAGCCCATCGTTCCCTTGACTATTCGAGGTGTGTAGATGTGTTGGGGGGGGGGGGGGAACGTTGGGGATGGGGGCCCAATTGCAGCAGCGTCCCCACAGCGAATAGGCGCGGAGGACAGCTAGTCAATACCATTACCGACAGAAATATGGATTTCAGCTATCACAACAGTAGCCTTGAGGAGACAAGGAGACTGCAAGAGAGGGGGAATGATGATGATCATCTCTCATTTGCATTCTGATCACTCGGGACTGAGACGGAGTTGGGGGGAGGGAGGGGGGAGGTCAATGTCTTAGTGATGGGGGGAAGGATGATGGGTCAACGAGGAGCAAGGGTGGAATTTGGTGACGGGTGAGACGTAAGAGAGAGCAAATGCTGAAGGATGAGTATGGGGAAATCATGCATGTAAGATGACACAAGAAGTAGGCAGATTTAGAAGAAAAAGAGAAAGATCGCTGATGTACGGTACAGTACGTGTATAGACGGTATCATGTCACTTGATGTTGTGGTCTCATGATGCCGACTTTCGGCAAACTGATCTAACCACTGTTCCTTTATCACTGAAATGCACATCGTCATGTAAAGAAGTACTGATTTTCACTTTACGGAAAATAATAAGAAAAAAGAAACCAGGGTGGCTTGTTTACCTGTCAGCAACCAACAAGCATGAGAGTACAAAGAACGTCAACAGATGAATGTGTACAAGAAAAAAGACGGAGATTGAGATTATTGAGATGGAAAGTCAAAGAATGAAGACTATGGGCTTCCTGTGTGAACAAAAGATGGCGCTTATTTTTACCACTCTCCAGAGCCCTGGTTCACGCGCATATAGCGCAGACTATGCGCAACTTTTATTTTGGATGTGCACATAAGCCATGGCGGCTCTGCATGAGTGTCATGCGTCGTCGGCAATGTCTTTGAATGTCTCTCCCAGTGGTCTCCCCAAACTCTCTTTTCTTACCGTTCGAAGGGGGAGGGGTGCCTAATTAATTATCCATTGTAAAAAGAAAAATATCGAACTAAGGCCCCCCCCCCAAAAATATTCGGTCTCTGGTCAGACCAAAGTTCCGGAATTGACGCGGGGACGCGGCTTTTTTTTTTTCTTCAAGCTTGGATTGTACAGACAAGGTGGGGTACTATTTTGCTTTTTTTGTGTCCTCATGTACATTGGTGTCCTTCATAATTTGCCTTGGTGCTCTCGATCATTTGCCGTGGTGCAATTTCCCATTCCTTTGTGCTCTTTGGTAAAAAAAAATTGAGGAGGTGCGGCAATAGAGGGCGCTGTTGGAGCTACCGCGGAACATTTTGGAAAAAAAAAAAAAATTGACGCGCATGATTAAAATCGACGCGCGCGCTGACCAGAGACCGACTTATTTTTTTTTGTGTCTAAGAATGGAAAGTCAGAGAACGAAGACTTTAAATTGAGAATAACAGCTGTAGACCGAGGTGTACATGTATATGCTGCTAGTTTTCCCCAAGGGGAATGGTACAGGAGTGAATCCCGTCGACATCAGGTTGAGTCCATGATCCATGCAGTATATCAATGACCGCAATATTGACTCACATTCCACACTTGACTGGCACCCAGAGTGCCTGTGAATGTGTAATGAGTTCTGTGCGCCCATTCCTTGGGTGAGACGCACGCTCATGTAAGAACTAGGTACAAATTTCAATGTACGGTAACAGTATTATGTATTACATGGTCCTCTCAATATTTACTGTATTGTATCGGTTTATTTTTTGTGTGTGAGTCCAGTGATCTTTGTATATCGTACTATATACGTACTATATTTCTTGTATGCGCTTTGTATCCTTGGGAAAAAGCGCTTTAGCAAATTCATCGTTATTACATATATTGGTTTTTATTGCGGTTTTATGTAATGTCGCTGTTCAGAAATGCCAGTGGAAGCTGAATTTCTATACTTTTTAGTGTGGATAATAAACTTGAATTTCAATATGAATTTGTATTTCACTGGTCTGTGTGCAGATTAACATGAAAAAATATGTCAAGTTAGAATCTGTAATTT